GTTTTCCTTTATAAGTTATACCTTTGTTCAACCATATATTCTGTAGCTGGACTTTTTCTTGATTCTTTTGTTTACATTCATTAAATGCACATACTCCTTCTTTATAAAATTGCGGTAGGTATTTCATATTGAGATGTTGTATCCTTGTGATATTTGTAATCAACAAATAAGGGATATCTAAATTAAATCTTAAAATTCAAATAATTTTGCACTAAAATATTCAAGCCTGTAGAGGGTTTAAAACTAAAGCACTTAATAATTGTTTTAAATCCTTATTTTGCTAAACAGGTTTTGTAACCCATGATGCTTTTAAAGCTTTGACTTTGGTTTCAAAGTCAGTTACACCTAATCAATACATAGGGCTCAGGGCGGATGTGACCGGTCATCAGGGGATGTTTGCTTATCATAGGCAACTAATCCCACATCTGGTGTTTCCAGGGATCCGTGTTTTTGCCCTGTTCACAATACGTTTTCCCCCTGGATTTATAAGGTAGATCATTGTTCGTTCTCTTTATCTTTTACATTATTTGGAGAATAACTAAAGTACTGTGCTTACAAGAAAAATAAGTCTGTTTTTCTGTCTTCTTTTTTAATTCAAAAAAAAAAAAATCTAAATGATTCTTAGAAGTTTAAGAAATTATTCATGATTAAAATATGAGCATGTTGTTTGTTTTCGCGCATACTGTACTCGGATAATCTGCATTATTTGTTTCTCGCTCACTTTTTTTTCAGTCATACATCAGAATATTTTTTACAGGCTTATATTCAACCTGTGTTATTTTTGCCCTTTCACACAACTACAAACAACTTTACCCGTTTTAATTTCGGCCAGACACAAAAAAGATAATCAGATTATTCCCTTAAAAATAAATACAGTTATTGAGAATGGCACTTCTCACTTTTTATTTTGAAATGCCTATTAAATATTCCCAAATGGAAGCTATTTTCCGGAGTTATGTGGTCTTTTCACATATTTTAAGGTTAGTAATAAATTAGCATTATGAACATGCGCTCGTCCTTTTCAATTCCCATCTTTATTATTTAGAGCAACCGAAATCCTTACCCATTCCTTCCTTAATATTATGGTTGCTTTGAGTATTTAAATTCTTCATTCTACGATGGCCGACAGCGGCCGCCACTTTCTGATTAAGAATATTGTCATTTTGTACAGCGTTTTTGTCAATTTTCGTTGACACATTACAACTAAACTGGTAATGCTATATGTACATGTACACTTTTTACACTGACAATTTACACCAGCGAAAAAAATTAAAATTCTTTCGTGTGATATGAAATTAAGATACATAAAACAGGTGGCTTGAAAGAGATAAGGAGCATTTTAATGATTTTCACCCTCAATTAGTCTGAGATATCGTAACCCAGTTAATCCTAGATTAGACGTAAATCGTCATTCTGTCACCTTGTATCATTAAAAAGATATTCTTGTGATTGTAATTAAAAAGGGGAATAAAAGTAATACCTTTGTTGTAATGGATATACATGAATATAATGGATATATCTCGATCCTCAGATTGTATGAGACAACTCGATTCTACCTATTATGTAGAGGTAGAAAAACAGGATTTAGTAGCTCTACATGTGAGCATCCAATCAAAAGTTTATGGAATATATCAAAAACAAAACTTTAGATACGGAAATATACCCGTTTTTAAGCAAGAATGAAATGACAACCTTAAATGTGGGAGTCTGTATTTGCTCTCTAAATACATAAAATTAATAACTAAATGCTTGAAACACTTTTAAAGGCCAACGCAACCTCTCAAGACTTCCACCTGGTCGGCCAATTATTTTTCAATGTGGCACGGGAATGAAAATATAGGTACATGTAACTAATGTGATCATTTCCTCGTGCGCATTGTTTAAAAAACAAAATTCATACATCAAAGACACGTCCGATTATGAACAAAATCAAATTTCTGATAGACCTGGAAAATTTCATCCTGGTTACCTATGATGTGACCAGCAGGTACACCAACATGGAATTTTATGAATTAAGAGCCATTCTCTGTAATGACTTTAACTTTTATATAGGAGCTGTGGCACGCATAGTCTCAGAATTTCTCCAAACTCTCTATGATAAAAGTCTTTGATACAGTAATTTCAAATCAGGCAAAAATTGGTTGCTACGTGTCATGGTTACCATAGCAACATGCCCTAAAGTTTGAAAAATGGCATTTTTGAACATGTTCAGAGTCCCACAGTTAACATTTGCAGCAAAGCAAACAAGTGGCAATGACGGTTCCTGAAAGGTGAAGGCCTGATGTCTTAAATGCATGATAAACATGTTTGGTAAATCAACTATTACATACGTTACTATGGAAACAAAGTATTCAAAAGTAATGATTTTGTTCATTTAATTTTATAAAGTCATACACTTAAGATTTAAAACAATTATAGGTTGAAATGCAAGCAAATAATAGACAAGAGATCCTTGTAACATAAACCAAGGACGAAATATGATATTTTTTATAGGTTGGCAGTGGTTGCCATGGTTTTAATACCACAAAGGGATTTTAAATTTACTCTCTTAGTGTTTTAATCTTATCCTATCTTTTTAAAAAGCATATTTCTATATAACTGAGGATCAATTTTTAAAGGCATTGGTGTGACCCTAATTCTTACATTTCAAAAAATAAAAATTCAACTCTTTAAGTAGAGCGTTGCTATGGAAATTAGCCGAAAAAATATGCATAAAAATCTGAAAAATATTTTGTTTCCTTGGATACGTACCCCTGTTTGTAGATTCCCAAAACTTTTATGATTGATAAATATGAACAACTAACCTGAGTTTCAATTTTGACTACCACCCAATCTCTAACTGGATGCAAAAAGCTGGCACGTAGAATTTAATATTGATATAAAATTAACAAAATCGAACATTTTCCCTTCTTGGTAACCATAGCAACAGTGTTGTATTTTTCAACAAACTTTATCAATATATGATGTTCAACTTTAGTTCTACCAGATAAGTACTATTCAAGGTGAGTCAAATAATATGTTTCTTGATTAAAAGGTAAGTATATTCCTAAAGCAGCAAAAAATATTCCTTTAAACAACTGGTATGTTGTTTCCATGGTTACACTGCAAAGTAACAATTAATCTCAATTTTTCTTATGTTGTCGGTGTTGCAAGGTCCTAAGGATATATATGTGCCAGTCATGAATTTTATTGTTTTTCCTCAAGATAGTAGCATTAACCCAATCTTAGCAACATATTTTGCCTTGTTACACTGTGTTACCAGGGCAACCATGAAAGTTATTTTTAGAATAATATTGCCAATACCTAATTACTTAAGGTCAAATATTTTTATTGTTTTTCTTTGGTTGTTGATTGAGTTTGATCATGTAACATCTATCATTAGTGAATATTGAGCGTTTTTCAGCATTTTTCAGCATCTTAAATGTATTCCAAATGTACCCATGGTTACCACTTACTTAGAGATAAATTCTAAATAGTTTCTTTATAGCATAAGTGGCAACAAGGTGTCATGTTTTTGTGAGAATGGTTTGTTTGTTTTTCTTATTCTTTATTAAGGCTTAATAAAGATTCAAAGTAGCTGAAAATCTCAATTTTTTCAACTTTTCTGGCTGTTGCCATGGCAACCAAGACAAATAGCAACGAAATTTTATTTGATATTTGTTTCTGGTGTCAAGTTGTAATAAAGGGCAAAGTTTCATCAAAATCGGTGACCATGCGTGGCAAAGAAGTTTAAGTGGTTACAGAGAATCGCTATTAATTACTGCAATCTGTCGAGAAAGTATATCTAGAAGACAATACTAATCTGTAATCACCCCGACCTTGCTGTTCTGCTAGAATCTTAAGCTTATCACCTTTAAGTAACCTGTTTTATGTATCTTCATTTCATATCACAAGAAAGAATTTTAATGATTTTCTCCAGTGTAAATTGTCAGTGTAAAAACTGTATATGGACATATAGCATTACCAGTTTAGTTGTAATTTGTCAACGAAAATTGACAAAAAAGCTGTACAAAATGACAATATTCAGAATCAAAAGTGGCGGCCGCTGTCGGCCATCGTATCATTCCTTTTTCTGCTGTTTTCTTTTAATTTCAGAAATTGTCATGGATAATACCCTGATGAGGAATACTATGGACTTTGACTTGTGAATGTGACAATCCTGACTGTTTAGTGTTGATGCAATTTTGATAATTTACCATTTGCTGAGGGATACTGTAGTCTCCAGATCCCCCAGCTCTGCTATGGCTTGTTGAATATTTGTAAATGATATTTTGCCAAAAGCATGTGGTAAGATCGGCGTATAGAGCATATACATGCGAGTGGCATGTTAACTATGAATTTAGTTTAAAATGAAAAAGCCTTGACAGTTCCGCCAATATGATTTGTCTAATTCTTCCAAATTCCATAAGTACATGTGTGAGGTGACTGATATAAGAAAAAATTCAATAAAGTTGGAGACTTTGATTAACTTGCTCAATGAAAAGTAGCTTAATAGTGTTAGGAATTTCAAAATAACATTATTTTCTTGGAATTTTGCCCTCCTTTGACTTTCAACAAGGGCAAAACGGGCGAAAATAAAAAGGGGCTGAAAATATCTCTGTATACAGTAATCTGTCTTCTAAAACTATTGTATTCACTTTTCCAAATTTATATCAAAATATGTCAACATCTTCGCCTTCAAACTAGTTATGATCGATTTATAATATTTTTCTCAAACGTTTTGCTTTGCAACAATTCCTCAAGTTCAACTACTACATTAATCATTCCAGACATGACCACCACTTCAGTCCTGGATCTATCATTATCAGTGATTTTCCACAGCTTGTCCTACTGACTAAACTCTTGCTTGGAATCATTTTGTACAGGTTATTTTAAATAATAATAGAAAACAATGAGAACCACTCAAGGGTACGCTTGACAAAAATATCTAGCATAAGTATAACAATTTTCTGTAAACTCTCCAAAATCAGATTGATTATCATTATCAATTATACGTATATTAGTATAACTAAAGTTAACAAATTGTAATCTAAAAATTAACGTTCAATAACTATAACATAAAACTTTCACTGCCATTAATGGTCACTTTTACAACAGATTTTGGTGAACCTTGGTTAGTTCTTTCCGATCTGAACTCAGACTGGGAATTATACCGCTTATTCAGATGTGCACCATTCTCTTTGACGCCTGCATTAAGACCATTTCTTGCAAGTCCATGCCCATCCATTTTCTGTCTCTGTGCTTCACGACTTCCTGCATCAGCTCGAGCTCTAGAGATGGGTTGATCTTCGTAAAAGAAAAACTGGGACTGTTCTTTATCATTATCATATATATACTTCTTATCCTTCACATGAGTATCAGCTTTATACGGAGATAGGACACCCACCCTCTGCATAGAGTTATTAAATTCTTGTCTTGCTCCCATGTCTCTCCGTTTCCTATTACATTAAACACAATAGAAAATAAGTTTATATATTGATATGATTTTCAATTCATGAAGCTATTTACTTTGAAGTTTACCTTTTGCATAGAATGACTACAAGGCATAGAATCCCTAGGAGGAGCACTCCACTCACTGGTAACACAGCGTACAAAACTGTAAAGATACAGGGATAATTTATACAGCGTACATAACTGTAAAGATACAGGGATAATTTATACAGCGTACAAAACTGTAAAGATACAGGGATAATTTATACAGCGTACATAACTGTAAAGATACAGGGATAATTTATACAGCGTACAAAACTGTAAAGATACAGGGATAATTTATACAGCGTACATAACTGTAAAGATACAGGGATAATTTATACAGCGTACAAAACTGTAAAGATACAGGGATAATTTGTACAGCGTACAAAACTGTAAAGATACAGGGATAATTTATACAGCGTACAAAACTGTAAAGATATGGGATAATAAATACAATGTATAACATGTGAAGATACAGGGATAATTTACACAGAGTAAAATAGCTGTAAAGGAATTGAGATATAATTTGCACAGCGTACAAAACTGTAAAGATACGGAGATAATTTACGCAGCGAATAAAACTGTGAGTGTACCTTGATAGTTAATGAATGTACAAACCTCTAAAAGGAGGGTTACTGAATAGCTACAGAACTATAAATGTATAGGTATTTTTAACACCGCGTACAGAACTGTAAAGTTACAGGAATATTTGCACAGCATTCAAAACTGCAAACATGCAACTAGAGTTAGACAGCTAAAACATCACACAAAAATGCGATTGTACAGGGATAGATAACACAGTGTACAGAACTGTAAAGTACAGGATTGGCTGCCAAAGTGTACAAAATTAGAAATGTACAAGGATAGTTATTAAAGCATATAAATCTCTAAAAATATGAAAGTATGATGAAAATTAATTAAATTATAGTAGGTATCTGGAGATTCATAGATAGGTTACACAGTGCTCAAAACTGATATAAATACATGTATAGGATTAGTGAAAACCGAGTTAATAGAACTGTAAACTGAAAGAATATATAAAGTTATACAGTGTAGCACCTACAAATTGTAATAAAATATGCTGATATCAGCACAGTTTTGATATCTTTACAATAATGAATCTCCTCTTTAGTACACAATATATGGATCCTGGAAAATGTTCAAAATTATATTTTTACGAATTTACCTTAAATAGTATCATTAGAATTGTCTATTTTATAATAAAGTGATCCTTCTTTTTGGAATAGGAACGCTTAGTAACTCTGAATGAGATATAGCAGGGTCAGATAAATGTCTTATTCTTTAATTTAATAAACTAAGAAATAGATTTCTGGCCTTAATTAAATTCCTTCATTTTAACTTGTTCTCCAAAGTATGAGGAGATACCCTAAGGGAAAAAAGAAAAGGTGTACATGTTGCAAAGTACCATTAAATTCTGTGGTTTGAACAACTTCCCTTTTCACTGGCGTCATCGTTACTGTATCTGTGGATGAAGACTGGGTCATTTGGTCTAATGTCGTGGAGGAGTAAAGGTTCTTAGTAGAAGATCTTGCTTTCTCCGTTGTTTGATAGGTTTCTGATGTTAGCAAAGTTATCTTTTCAGTTGTTGTGAAATTTTGTCCGTCGACAGTTCCTGTTGTTTGGTATGTTTCTGAGGTCACATTATCATAGTTTATAGTTGTAGTAAAATTCTGTCTTTCGACAGTTTCTTTTGTTTCTGTTCCGTTCTTGATCTCAATGGTTGTGCTGGGAATAGAGGGATCTGTGGACGGTATTGCTGTTGGATTGTCCGTTGATACGATAGGCTCTTTTGACATAGTGGCAGTTAATGTTGTTGACCCTGATTGTGTTGAAATGGATGTTGGTGCTGTTGAGAATGTGGTTGTCGATTGTGAAGCATTGATAGATGTAGTCCATTGTGTAGTGTCTCGAAAGTTGGTGGAGATTTCTGTTACAGGAGATGTAGAAGTTGTTGGAACTCTGGTTACTCCAGGACTGAAACATTGAGCACTCATTCTTGCCTTCTCTGTAAATTTAAAGCATGAATAATTTCTTCATGTTCCGTGGATCCATTTTAATTATTAACACTTTATAGTAAGGAAATTGTAAACTAGAAAAAATTGTAATTGTTGTATAAACAGTATAAATAAAAAGCAATAAAAAAATTGTTGAAAAAGAGGGAAGGGGAGAAATTTAACTTAAATTAACTGTGAATTACAGAATATTCTTGCATGTTGTACTTACCAAATCTCAATGACAAAATCAAGCAATATCCAGTTGACCAACTACGTGATACATTACTAAGCGTTAGCATGATACTAGAGTGTCTGTGTAAATGGTACTCCGTATCCACATTATCACAATAAATGTCACGAATCTCCTGTGTATCATTTGTTAGCTTTAGTTTCAGTCCACAGTTGGCTGTGGGTAACAGAGAAGGTTCCTGCTTCATGTAGAGTACTGAGGTATTGTATATACTTAATATTTTGATCTCACACATGCAATGACTTGAAATGCTCCCCTCTGGGATCATGTATGCATCAAGGATTAAAGAAGTATCTGATTCCGTGATGTTTTCTGTGCAAAATGATAGAACTGAAATGAAAGTAAAATTAATCAATTAACGAAAAATATTACATATGTCGCTGTGATTTGACTTAGAAGCGTATATCGACTATGAAGTAGTCATATAGCAGTGAAATAACATTAAAGACCTTCCTGTGTCTTGAAAACTATTTTACCTGGTAAAGATTTCTCCTGTGCATATCTTTGGCAGCTGTTTTCATTTGTATAACCCAATTTACCTATAGACACAAAATAAAAGAGTTATTGGTTGCATCAATATTTCTTTCAAATTTGACTCAAGCTTAAAAAGACACCCTATAATTAGAGCATATATTAACTTAGGATTTGGTGTATTGTATGTAATAATTTGGTGCATATCGTAAACAGTATTAATGATGCATGAAAATCATATCTTCTACAGATTTAAACATATTCGGTGCCAAATATATTTACAATTGTTGACTATTTAATTGTTTTGGGTTTTTTAAATATAGCAGGATTTAAAAAACGGACAAATTTCCTATGAGACAAGGTATATGAAAATAATTGTACGGATAAAAAGTATTGCAGAGTGAATCACAATAAGTACTGATGTACTTACCACATGCGAGGAGGAGGAAGATAACGGTCCACTTCTTCACTTTGGTGGCCATGTCGAAACTAACTACCTTTCAACATGTCTAAATCTGCCAAGAATTTGACACATTCACAGCATTTACTAAACAGGGTTGACAATGGGTAGTTTATGTCACTTTGACGAAAATTTGATATATAAGGCAGAGTATTGATACCTTCTATCATGCATGCATAATTCAGGATTTAAAGGCCCTTTCCATTTTATGTCTGTGTGTGCAATGATACCTGATGGAAATCGGTTTTATGGAAAATAAGAAAGGTGAAGTCCATTTCAGTTCTTTTAAGAGTTCAATTTCAGGTATTGATCAGATAAGAGTCGGTTAGTTTTAAAACAAAGCAAAAACAATGACACCCTTCATTTTTTACTACATTTCATTCAATAAAAATCAATTTGTACAACCTTTTTCCTCTGTGGTTATGTTATTAATTTACAGAAAAGTCAGAGCAAGTTACAGCAATCATCCCTCAAAACTTTCAATTTATAAGTTGTTAGGTTTCAGTTGACACCGAGACGTGTAAAATCCTTAAACTGAGCCTAATATAGGAAACAGTTAATGAAAGGATAACGACGACCCGGTCACCTGCGGGCATTCATCAGGTAGAGAAAATAAAAGAGGGAAAATCAATCTATTTTAATTTATAAAATTGTTTTGATTACCAACAATATGAATACGAATATACTGCTTATAACTTATTCGTAAAAAAGGTATTATACAATTTACAGTAAAAGATGATTTTATACAATAATGGTCTATAGTAATAACATTTAGGTGAATAATAATATAATGCACAATATCCGTTCATATCTTACAGTGCAGGAAACTAATTTTGTTACAGCATCAATGCTGATTTGAATGCTTCCTTTGCTTACTGATTTGAATGCTTCCTTTGCTTGCTGATTTAATGCTAGTAATCCTTATCCTGATGCTGTTTTATAATTAGGTCAATGCTACCGGAAGTAGCATCATGCTACCGGAAGTAGATAATGAATTTCAGCATTGCCGTTTAAAGCAATGAAAAGGCCTTTTACAATTATTTGATCATAATATCTCACTATGTATCAATAATGTGAATACTTTAACCAATATTCTTTCTTTCTTTTTTAATTTTTTACTGAATTAAAACTCATTGATTTTCTGATGCTAGTAGGATAATGCTGATTTTATGTAGGTCAATGCTGGTTTTATCCTTTGCTTGCTGATGCTGATCCTGGTAATGCTGTTTTTTAAATGCTGATGCTGATGCTAGCTCGATCCTGATGTTGCTAAATAAATGCTTATGCTGATGCTGGTTTATGTAACAAAATTAGTTCCCTGCTCTGTATGATTAACGATCCCATTATACAAAATCAATCTATAACATACGTCTATATATAATATACAATAACCATAAAAAGTATCTATTTGGACATATCTGTTCTAAATGTAAGTTTTCTTCGCAATTAATTTTCTTTCACTTGAGGATGTGACTACAACAGTCAAAAATCAATTGGGTTTTGCATGTTTGATTGCTAATTGGAAAAAAATGACAGAATCAGATAACATATAACCCAGTAACAGCTATAAGCTGTTATGATCTGATGTACCTTCAAATGAAATTCTTTTACCCTGACTCTCCCTTGCAAACGAATCATGGATGTGTAAAATACATGTACAATGATAGCACCAAATGTACTGTAATGCTGCTCACAACAGTTGCCATTAAGATAAATTCAAAGAAGTTTTGTGACGTGAAACATTTTCTCCGTCAGTAAGATGCACTTGATGAAAAAGAACTAACACCTTTGGTCCTTATCCTGTTATGTTCAAATGGAGTCAATGTACTACTAGCATCTTACATCACTGAACACGGTAAATTATTATACAAATGCTGCTGTGGTCGAATGTTCATAGTTTGTGTTGTAGACCATTCAACAGCTCAATTTCATTAACTCTCGCAAGCAATTTTCGCTAGAAATAAATATCAGGTCCGTTTTGTGTGCCTCTATTGACAACAGAGTACTTCGGAATATTTCCGCTCGTCCGGTAGTCTTTCACATTATATCTAACAAACGGTCCTTCCGTTATGTTACGGGGTTCTACATCATCTGTGGTAGAGTTAGATAAAACAATCCCGTCTATTTCGAATTCCTCTGGACTTTTCGTAAACTCTGTAATAAACTCCGGTCCTTCGTCATAAGCATCATAACCAAAGTTTGCTTCTCCTATGGACGGGTATTTATCAATGGAGATGCTCTCATTATCTTTCGGGTACTTTATCTCACGACTCCTAGAATACAACGCAAAAAGATTTCAATCAGGGATGTTTCCCATTCTAAGATTTATTCACTTGGAATTAATTTTGTTCATTATTTTGTTTCCTATGCTAAAATATTCATCAAAGATTTTTAAAGACGTGTTTAATATGATTCATCAAAAATTCCAAGCAAAACATATCGTACCTGGCGCCGGGATCATGAAACATCTTATACTTAAGTCAAAATCTTTATGTTGCTTTAATTTTTTGTAGAAGTCAAACAGAACAAAATTAAAGTATTTTTCAATATTGCTTTACAAAAGTGTTGTTATCTGCAAATTTAGACATTAATTCGATAATAAATAAACATTTTACAGACGACTGAAAATTTGACTTAAGTCTAAGTCTGTTCCATGATACTCTGTGCGTAGATATATAAAGTTTGCTAGTGTGATTCAGAATGTTACTTACTCGAGATTTATACATACCTTTGCCATTTGACGAAGGCAAGAACTAACGCAACCAGTAATATAATTCCCAATAATATTGCTGGAATTATTCCACTCCCTAAAACAGACAAAACGTTCATAAAATTAAAAAAGTAATTTTAAAAAATTAGCTGAATTCATTCTTCATGTTTCTCTCTACTTATTGTATTACCGGTACGTAGTTTTCATAGTTTTCGAAAAATGATGTTTTGAAAGAAATGCAAGCATCAATAACATCGAAGCAATGGTTTTTATCTTCTGTTATGATCATTGAATTTCTTTAATTTTCATTATTCTGGGATCTTTTCGGCATTTTCATTAACCTTTGTGAAATTGCTGGTTGTCTGTGAGTCTGCGATTAAAACATTATATTAATTCTACATTAACCTAGAAAAAGCTCTAGAAATTTTACTAATTTCCATACATACACGGTGTTCCCCGCTCCAGTAGCGGTTTACTGGTTGTTATAACAGGTGTAACTGGTGTTGTTCTCTTCGTAGTTGTAGTATTTTGGATACCACCTGCAGATGAGACTATGGTTGATGACATAAATGTCATTGGTTGTGTTGACACCTGTCCAGTCGTTGTTGAGGACAAATTTTGGGCTGTTACAGATTCTGAAGTTTTAAAATGCTCAGTTTTTGATTCTGCCTTAATTGTCGTTGTTGTGTGCTCTGAGGTTTGAGATGGAGCAGTTGTTAAGTCTGTCATATTTTTCGTTGTTTTGTGTTCTGAAGTTTGAGTTGGAGCAGTTGTTGACACTTCGACGTTATTTCCAGTGGTTGACTCTGGCGTATTCGTAGTTACGTCATTATCAGTGGTCATTTCTTCAGTCGTTGTATCTATATCTGTGGTTTGACCACTAGAGACACTATATGCTTGTGTAGTTAACATATCGGCAGATGTAGTCACTGTCTGAGATGAAGACGAACTGGACACGTCGTCTGTTGAAGTTGCTTCTGATGTTAATAAGGCTTCGGTTGATGTTGTCGCTGCCTGACTTGATGTGGGTAAGCTTTGTGAAGCTGTTGAGAGTGATAAGGTGATCACCTCTGTGGTAGCTGATGACTGGGTTGATGTTGATAGATTCTGTGCGGCGGTTGATAAGGAAGATGATGTGGTTGTGACTTGTATCGTTGTTACAGAAGACTGAATTGTACTCGTTGTTATCTGACCTCCAGTTGTTAGGGAAGATGACGATGTCTCTTCCTGCTCGGTTGTTGGGGGAAACTGTGTTGTTGTTGTAGAAGGTAACATGTCTCCATAACAAGAAACATTAAGTTTTGCAGTTGAATCAACTGAAAGAAAAGAATATCAAGACACAATCATTACCCTAGCTGCCTTGTTTTATTTTATTATTTTCAGTAAAAGATAATTACATGTATACCATAATATTTGTATATCAGTTAAACTTTATAACTACTATGTATACATTAATAAGTGTGTAAAAGTACTCATTCAAAAATTAATTTTAAGAAATAGTTTCAGTAAACAGCTATTTGAAAATTCAAATGTTGTACCTGACACAATAGATATACAATAATCTGTGTTTGAAGCTAGTTGTGGATTTTCGAGATTAATATTAACATCTGATCCGTTAATTGGAAGCTGGTTGTCAGTCACAAAGCAATTCATTGGTATACTAGTACCATCAGCTTGAATCCTTAGAGTACTTCCACACTCTTTCCCAGGATAGTTGCCGTTGTAGTTGGTGAAATTCAATCTGCTAGGTTTATGACTGGACACGCTACATTGACAATTTGTAGTACTAGAGTCTTTAGCTCTGTATCCATCTATGACGACGACACTCCCACCAGATATCTGGTTATCGTAGCACAAAAGGGCAACTGAAACATGTAATTATGTCATAATCAATGCTGCAAAAATCTGCTTTATCAGTAGGTGTATCAAAGTTTCCATCGAATTAAAATAGAACTGTTCACATCTTACCTGGAACTGAGTTTGTCGTGGCCTGTGTGTAACAAGGGGAGTAACAACTCACCAAGCCTGAAATTAGATATTTTCTTTTTAAATTCATGTTCAAACTGTTCATTATGCTTTATTCATATATATTTTACATATATACAGTATTTTCCTTGTAATATACGAGTTGTAACATGCGTATAACTCCTAAAGAGGGAAACAGATGAGACTTTTTTTTCGTCGTAAATTTACCTCAAATATTCTTGATTAGAATGTTACGGTAGACCAGTTTTTTTTTTTGTTTTTTGTTTTTTTTTTTTTTTTGTTTTTTTTTTTTTTTTTAACAAGAAATTAAAAAAATACTCATAAAACACTTTTTTCCTGTGAAATGTGTCAAACATATTCTATACAAGAAAACAAATGAAGAAGTAGTTAAAATGTCATTCGCTCGCAACCAATCACTCGTATAACACAACTGTAAAATAGATAATATATTTCACTTATTAATTTAAAGAGCTTTACAAATGTGATAATACGTGTATGCATTATCATGTATTTTAATTTCTAAGCACACATCGATCGAATCGACCCTTTGTATCCAAATATTTTGAATTATTTACATAATTTTACATCTGCTTTAGTCCCGAAAATTTAATTTTTCTTCCTTTTTGAAGACCGAAATGTCTTCCTAAGATAATTTGTTCTACCCCAATTAGCTAATGTCATATTTCTTTATAATGGCAGAGAATACTGAAAAAGAATTTTTCCCTGTTGTTTGAGAACCTATAAAAGGGCGTTTATAGTAAGAACGTCGACCAGCTCTTCTAAGATATCTTAAGGTATTCAATGTATAACGACCATATTTTGTACCTAACAAGTGAATGGTCCGAAATGATTTATCATGGTAACATTTTGAAGGTGTTATGAAATAAACATACCCCATCAAATGAATTTACAAAATTTTAATTACTGTCCAATTAATTGCACATTAAATTTTACATTGACGTCTATGGGCAGTGCATGTTTTATTTAGATATTGTAAAAAGTAATGTGAATTTCATACAAATCTCTTGGTGAAAATATGCGTAAACTCTCTTTTTATTAAAATATGAAATAAAATGAATCATTTACCACAGATATTTTGACAAAATAAAAAATTTCTTCTTTTTATCAAGGGCAGATAACTCTTCAAAAACTTTTCAGGTGCAAAATGATCAGCTTCTTATTTGTTATCAGTCATGTGAATTTGGCTCATTTCACTTTCATCGTTATCTAGCAATGTATTTTTAACTAGTTTTAGACGATTTGAAATTGTTCAAAATTCCTTCTTTATACATTGAATACCTTAAATGTGTATCGTCTCTCTCATGTTTCATTCGCGGACACCCAGACAATAAGCGCTCCATTTTCAGTTAAACCATGTGATGGAAAAGAGGCTTGAGAAGTAGGAAACATTTTTTTTAAAGGTGAAGATAGATACATATGTAGAATGTTTTTCTTTGTTTTCTTAATTATCCTAAGTAAACACAATTCGTCCTGTCCGAGAGGACATTATTAAATGGAATGTGTTTTATTTTTTACCTCAGTGATTTCTTTTAAAAGGAGGGTTTGTTTTGATAAATACCTGTATTTTAAGAGAGTTGTTTATATAAACACTCTCTAGCAATGTCTGCTTTTATAGACATGTAAATTTAATTTGTAACATGACAGTACATGGATCGTTTTGAGTCGTCAATTTATGCAAATGCACACAACAATGTAACACTAACCGACAAAATGTAATTGAAATTTTTGTCACAGGTACAAAAAAAAAATCTGTAATATACCCGTAACTTTTTACAGAATCACCACAATTTGTCTATTAGTCTATTTTCAGAGGTATTTATAAAGGAATAAATACACTAAATGCAATATTAGATAAGGAAGTTTGTATTTTTTCCGTCAATAAATAAAACTTTTATGCTTTATATTGGATCCTTGTTACCTGTGCTCTTGATATCGAATTATACTTTATACACAGATGATAATTCAATAATGACTACAGCTGTCACGGAATTGAACAAGGATTACATCGATTACAGACTCATCCAACTCAGTAATGTCGCTCGTCTATCTTTATTAACATTTTGCGTTAAAAACATAAAATCTAAAACCCAAATAAGCTGCAAAATTGGCACAAGTTATTCTAAATGCCATATCGAGCCTAAAGGTACTTATATATTTGTTTCTCTTAAAGGAAATTTGAAATTTACCCTTAAAATTAAATGATTATTAAAAATATCAGTGAGTAAGCTTATTTATAAAAATACTATCTAATTAGATGGATTTAAATATTGAATACGCTATACTGGGTAACTTACACACTAAGAGAGAAGAGTAAATAAATTGATTTTTCTTCCTGAATTTTAGTAATAATCCCTATTTTTCCTCAGTGGGACGATATGTAAGTTGATCAAAGGGTATACGAAATTAAAAATATTACAAACCTGTGAATAATGATAAAATACTTATGATCCATAATTCCTCGTTTCCTCGTACCGCCATGCTCCACAGATTAGACAGTTCAGTAGGGTACACACCCAGTTCCGTGTCATCACAATTTTAACGTTCTTTCTGAAACTCAATCGTTTCTGCACCACACCGCTCCTAAGTTTTCGGTATTTCAATTATTTCATTTCCTTTTTATATGGAGATGAAAACAATAAACTTCTTCCGTAAATAAAATCTTGGTAGTAAATTCTCAACTCCCATGACATTAATTTACATTTAAAAAATTCAATACAGAGAAATTTAAAACAACCCGTGACCATGGTTATATTATTATTAAGGTGTAAGGTCATAGCACATTAAGGGAGAAATTTGGTGTATAACTGATATCAAACAGGCAACAGATCGGCCTGGCGTGTAGCCGGCCATGTCATTTTTTAACAATGCCAACATGTTACTTTAACGAATGAGTGAACACAGAAAAATCGAAGAGATAATAAATTTTCTTTTATGTTGCTCTAAACCCATTACAGTGTATACGTACATGAAGATAGGGCGTCGCCCTTCCCCCACAATAAAAGAGTATACAAACATTAAAGAACGTTAGTCCCTATTCACGGTAATGGTAATAATTTCCTCTTATAAAGTCAGTTACACGAAGCAATTCTATGCGCTTAAAGAAAAAATATTTCCCATCCCTATTCAACTTGTAAAAATTAATTATTTAAATAAATATTGTTAAATTAAATACTAGCAAAAAATTAAATATGACCAAAAAGAAAAAGATTTCAACGCAGACAAAAATAATATTAATCATAAGTACCGGTACTTGTTGTGTTAACATTAAGTTTTCCATATGTATTTAATAAAGCTACAACAGTCTTTAAAAAAAAATCAAGAAACTCTACTCTAAATTGAAAATATTCTTTCGAGTTATCGTCCTTTGACATGATTCTCTGTTCATTGAGACATTTATGACAATTTTACCAGGTTATCTCAGAAATGTAAGAACTCAATACCATGTTATGTTTTCCTGATAGTTCTCCTCTCTACTGACAATCACATTAATTAATTGACATTTATTCGGTGGCAGAATTATTACTAAAAAAGAAATCACCATAAAATTGAAAGAATCAATAACGCGTCCAGATACCAATGCACATCAAACATGCATTAGGGAGTTACAAGGAGGTTATGCATCTGATATGAGATCGATGAAATACACATGTAGAGTGAATCACATTCATTTATTTGATTTTAATAGGACATGTTAAACATCTTACTAAACTAAAAAATGTATACTTTGTATATATTTTCGTAATGATTTGAAGTAATATTTAAAAAAAAAAGATAAACTAATCCAGAGAATTCGTGTCTCCCGCTTAAGAAAAAAAAAGACAATCTAGAAGAAGTAAAAAAAAGTATGCATATGGAGAAAGAAAAAAAAGTGGTCAACCTTGAACTTTCAGGTTTTGGCTATAAAGTCTATATACATATAGACGTAGCATTATGTATTATGCACTTAGTCGTAGTGTATGCATTACGTATAGGGGTCTTTTTTAAGCTAAAGAAATTCATGACCTTAAGTTTCATTGCAATAGCTTGCAGAGAACATAAGTTATCACCTGAAAACTATTTATGCAATGTACACTGAATGAATTTCTGACTTTGATGTATGACCTTTCGACCTCAAAATCATCTTTTTATTCAAGTCATATTCAATTTGACATTAAGTTAATAAGGTATACATTTTCACTACAAAACCTCAGAGAATTAATATTATTACCAGGAAATCATTTTATGCAAGATAAATTTTGATCTTGACATATTGATCTAGAAATCAAAAGGGGTTTTCTTTAAGTCATTTGGTGTTCTAAAATACAATTTCATAAAGAAAGCTAAAGGAAAACTCAAGTTATATTTGGAAACCTTTTTTGACATTTTATGAATTTCTGACCTTGACCTTTAAAATTCAATAGGGTCTTCTTTAAGTCACTGGGAGTTAAAGATAAATTACTTCATTGAAAAAACTCAAAGAGAACCAAAGATATCATCTCAAATCATTCTTTGCAATATACGAAATTCTGACCTTGACTTTTTGTCATCAAAAGGCAAAAGGGAGTTGTGCTATAAAATTTCATTGAAAATCTCCCATCCCTATGCTTTGAGCTTAAAGATATCATCTTCCAACAAACGTGTTACGTATCACTTCATTACCTTTGAACTTTTGACCACAAAATCAATAGGGGTTTTGATTTAATTGAGCCAAAAAATTGTGATATACAATTTCGTTGCAAAAGCTCAAATGCTTTTTGGAGATATTGTCTGGAATCAAAAGTGTTACCCACAGACAGAATGAGAGTAGAGAGACAGAGGGTTAGACCCAAATTAATAATTAAAAGAGCTACAATTTAAAGGTAAATGATGACTTTCAAAATAAACCTACATCAGCAATATGAGATAAGCAGATCGGTTTCGAAAATGTAAACTTACATGTTAATCATAATCGAAATACGAATTCAATTATATACATGTACATGTACTCTTGTAAACACATCAAAGGTAAAAAAAAAAATGATAAAGTATATCAAATGAAATCGAAATGTATATTATTACAGTTATTATGTTCGAATGCAGTGTGCATTTATAATAATAATGGGGAAAAACATCAGCAAACCGGTATTCAATGTAAATGCTTTCATTTGAAAAATTTTAAAAATATCATTCTGAAAAAAATATGATTGCATGAACACTTAATGGTAGAAATCCAAACAAATTTCACTTGCTTTGAAGAAAGGACAAATTACTACTGTTTTACTCAATAAACGACGTCTGCCTCTGTGGGTTGATGGGTCAAGCTTGCTGTTTTATCTACTTGGGAATACATTGCGTCTGTGGCTGTAGGTTGCTGGGTTTGGCTTGCTGGCTTATCTTCTTGAGATCTAGAGTATATTGCGTCTGTGGCTGGCTTGTTTTCTTTTGTAGATTTATCTACAACAGAGTACATTAGAGCGTCGTTGTTAATTGGTTGCCGTACACTATGACGTATATACGTTCCTTCACTTAGATTGGTTGATACAGAGACATCATCTCTTACGTCATCATTCACGATTGCGTTTATGTATGTCGAGTTAGTGGATGTGGAGATTTTACTTGTCATTCCGGGGCCAGCATCGAAGTCTGAAGAGTAGGGTGATTTGACGTTCTCATATGCTGACAAACTATTCCTGTGAGCATACATGTTTTTACGTTTTCTCCTGTAGAATACAAAAAAGTCGGTTTATTAATAGAGAATGACACATACCCTATTCCATAACACACCTTGTATCAGCCCGAGACACCAATATCATTCATAGGGCCGAAGGCCTGAGGGCTGATATTGTTTGAGGGATGATAAAGGGTGTGATATGGAAATTATACGGTACTGTAATATTTTTATATTACCATTTTGAATTGCAACAAATATCATTACATCTTTTTGTAAGGATTACATGTACTTTCGTCCAAAATCGGAATAATCATACTTCGCTGTTACATGCGTATGTAATAGCAATATAATTAAACATTTTCATTTCAGTACCTTTGGCTGTAACAGATCGCTAGAATAATGGCAGCAATAACGATTAAACCAGCTCCAACCAGAGGAATAATGTAACTCCCTGTTAATAAAATTAAACTATCAATTTTATTTCAGCTAATTTCTTCTTTGTATAAGCTGTATATCAGAATACTAAATCTAAATTATTTGACGAAAGTTTATCCATTTGTATTTGGAAAAGACGTCGACATAAAGATCGTGAGTCATGTGTAAAAATATTTAAGAATAGAATATTAAACTTTAGTACAAAAAGCAGGTTAAATAACTATGAGGATTTTTAAAGTACGAGAATTGATTAATGAGGCTTTATGCTTGATGGAATGAAAGTACAAATGAATTTTAAATGGTCTTACATTCTGAAGTCGAGCCTGCTGACTGCCCTATTTCGTCTGTTGTCTTGGTTGTTACTCCTGGTACAGATGGACGTTTTGTTGTGGACTGTGTTATTCTCTCTGTTGTACTCTGCTTCTTTGTGGTCGTAATTTGTGTTGATACAGGTTGAGATGATGTTGTGCTTGATTTTGTTGTCGATGTTGGTAATGGAGTTGTTGTTGTCGACGTTGATGTTGTAGTTGGTGGCGTTGGAGTTGATGTCAATATTTGTGTTGGTCTGGCAGTGGTTGTCGTTGTTATCCTCTGTGTTGTTGCACTTGTTGTTGTTATTGGTGTGGTGGTAGTTGTTGTGCTTGGAGTTGTAGAAGTGGTTACTATCGAACCAGGAATATCTCCCTCACACTTCAAAGTGAGCATCGCGCTTGTGTTATCTACATTATATTAGATTACACCAAGTTTTAACTACGACTTTCCAACATCTAAATGGGAAAACTGACTTAAGGGACAACCATTTGACTCTGAAGACGAGATCTGGGAAATAAATAAGTTGTCCGCGAAATAGTCTATAGTTCTTGTCTGGAGCTACTACCCTCATACCCTACCCCACACACAAGAACACATATAAATAGAGTCTTGGAGTTGTTGTAGCTTTTTTTTCACTTGTCAAACTTTTTCTAGTAGGGAAATAAATAATCTGTCCTTCACTGGCACGAAAATACATATTATCTATCTGACTTTCAAAATTGTCAGATCCCCACCCCCTTCAAAATCAAATATATGGTCCCCTTGCATGTATTCAATATAAAGCTAATTTGCTGAAGAGCATTAAAAAGATTATTTATAAACGTATTAATTTCAGTAACCTAAGAATAAATAAATGATATAAAACAATTAATTACTAAAACATTAGCTAGAATTTTATGACGAAACTCGTTCTCATATACCTGCAGTTAGTAACATACAATAGCCAGCATCGAAATTATAGCGTGGTTTTTCAAAGGAAATTGACATTGTTACTGAAGGACTAATGTTGAGACTTCCCAAAATAAAACAGTTTATAGAAACCCCAGATCCGGTAGACGTCTGTACAAGAATAGTGCTGGAACAGTACTGAGCTGGTTGAAGGCCACTTAGTGGTAAAAAACTGACTTTTGTACTGTTTGTAGTAGTAACAGTACATCTGCAATTCGTTACTGAGGAATATTGTGCATCAAATACGTCCAGAACAACTCTATTTCCCATTCCTGATGTATTGTAGCAAAGGGATGCTCCTGTAAACACAACAGCTATCATTACGATATACACATACAGTTTGAAACTTGTACTTACACTGTATACTAGTACTTGAACATAAAATTTTGACCTTTTTTTCTATAGTATATGTTATTTCTTATTTTAGCTTAAAATACGATATTTACCAGGTAAGGAATACTGTGCCATGGCCCTCTGGCATGCTGTTTCACCTTTAACAGCTCCTGCAAATTTTAATTTAATTAGAAATAATTTCATGATCTCTTTCCCTCTATCATCCACTGTTACCGTACCGTGCCCGAACCCCCTCAGTTAATCTGTAAACTAAAAAAGCTGTCATTTCCTTCTTTTAGTCCATCTGTATTTTTATGCCCCCGGATCGAAAGATCCCGGGGGTATATTGTTTTTGTCCTGTCTGTCTGTTTGTCTGTTTATCTGTTTGTCTGTTTGTCTGTCTGTCTGTTGTCAACTTTAACCTTGCCCATAACTTTTGATTGGTTGGAGCTATGACTTTCATATTTCACATGTGTATTCCTTGTGACAAGACCTTTCTTTGGGTACCATCATATTTGACCTTGACCTTGGAGTTTGACCCACTTTTGCAAAATTTTATGAGACTTTAACCTTGGCCATAACTTCTGAACAGTTGGTGCTTGGGGTTTCAAACTTCACATGTGTATTCTTTGTGACAAGACCTTCCTTTGGATACCAACAACTTTGACCTTTTGACCTTGATCTTGGAGTTTGACCTACTTTTGAAAAATTTTAACCTTGGCCATAACTTTTGAAAAGTTGGTGCTTAGGGTTTCAAACTTCACATGTGTATTCCTTGTGACAAGACCTTCCTCTGGATATCAACCACTTTGACCCTTTGACCTTGACCTAGGAGTTTGACCTACTTTTGAAAAACTTTAACCTTGGCCATAACTTTTGAATGGTTGATGCTAGGGCTTTCATACTTCACATATGTAATCCTTGTGACAAGACCTTCCTCTGGATACCAACCACTTTGACCCTTTGTCCTTGACCTAGGAGTTTGACCTACTTTTGAAAAACTTTAACCTTGGCCATAACTTTTGAATGGTTGGTGCTAGGGCTTACATACTTCACATATGTAATCCTTGTGACAAGATCTTCCTTTGGATACCAACCACTTTGACCTTGACCTTGATGTTTGACTTTTATTTAAAAAACTTTAACCTTTGCCATAACTTTTGAACAGTTGTATCTAGGTCTTTCAAATGTCACAGGTGTATTCCTCGAGACAAGACCTTTCTTTGGGTATCAACATTTTTTATCTTTTGGCCTGGATTTTGACTTGCATTTGAAGAAACTTTAACCTTCGCCATAAGCTGCCATACGGGGGCATCAGTGTTTCACAAACACATCTTGTTTAAATATGAAATTCTATTTGTGAATAGTTTTAAGACCACCACCAAGTTTTTTTTAATACAAACCATTTCAATAGCTATTTGAGATGACATGATGTATATTTTAAAACATTCCCCAACTCTACCGCCCGCTAGGTATCACCTGATACATGTACAATAACAGTTGCTTAATTTCACGTCTATTCAAAGCAATGGTCAACGACTGATATTTAATATTGTAGTTATTATAATTATATCATTCACTTTCTCACGTCCGTCTCCCATATTTAAAATTGCTCCATCATAGTCGCTGGACAGGAATCAGAAGATTTGATGAATAACCTTCCATAGCAGAGACCTTTTCCCGTTTAAAATTTATAACACACGGACCATTTGTTAAGTCAAGTAATTTCCGATTTATCTGATACAGGAGGTGTCAAGTCATTGATGGTTTTATTTCCACTCAACCAGCCGTAGTAAGAAATTCTTGTTAATGTGTTGAAAACACCCATGGGCACCACCACCAACAAATAAAAATAAATTGTTAAAGGTCATGTATGTAAAAGTGGTACATATTTTCTCAAGTTTTAAATAATGTTTTTTAACAAAAATTATTTAATTTTAGATTCATTTGTACGCTTTCTGAAACTTTCCAAGCGACATAGTTTGTATGTCTGTCGTAAATATTTATTTTATTATTCTGTATTTTCAACATTTAAAAGACATATGAAATACAGAAACTCTTTAAAATTGTAACATTTCAGATTTTATAACGATTGGTACTCTAAACAACTGTCTGGTTTTTTTTTTTTTTAAATCCATATATGAGTAACTGTTCGCAGAATATTTAAATATTTTATTTATCGGCACATCGATGCTTAGCATTCAATTCATACAATACATGGAAAGATCAGGTAGTTTAATTCATGTCTCAGTTTAAGAAACACGTTCAATTTACTTGAAGTAATTAACACAGAATCACACTCTTACCTATAAATATTAGGATCCAAAACATACAAAAAATCATGCCTGTCTTCTGCCGATAACAGAACACGACAAACCCACCCTCCGTCATATTGACCGCGCTGACTAAGTTGTTCTTGGGATGAAAGAATTTCCCGTCAACAAGTTAAGGTCCAACACTTTAAATTTAATCTCAGGCGATTGAAAAAAATTAAAATAGAGTCTTTAAGTTTCGGTTTAATTCATCCTTGGACAATTGTGTGATTCTAAACGCATACCCATTCCTGCAGAATTAAATACCCCGCAAGGAACACTTGCAGTAATTGAGTTCTGACGAAGAATGTCTTTTTATAGAAAATCACTCGAAAACCAGTTTGTAATCCATTGTATATTTACCCACTGGAATAGGATGTAAACATTGCATGGTGAAATGATTTCATCAAATAAACGTGTAAAATTTTAATGTGTCGAGCGACAATATATACAAAAAAGTTAAAGCTAGAATGGTTATGATTGAAATCTATTTCTCATGGTTAATTGATGGTTGTAATTAGTTACCCGTCATTTTCTAGACATGACTTCCGGGATAACTTCGGGGAATCAAATAGAGGTGTTTTTTTGTGAAACATGTATACTGAGTACGCTTTGCTTATTAACTTAATCGCATTCTTTCAATAGGGAAGTATTTTAATTCAAAAAGAAGATGGGTGAGCAAGGCGGGCGAAGTACCAATAGTGCGACAAGCAAGAAGTGAAAAATAAAATCTCAATTATACTCAAAATTTTCTTTGATATTTCATCTAACATTAATGTATACTTTATGTAAAATCTCCACAATTTACAAAAATCTCACAAAGACTGAAATTATTTGCCTACGAAATACAGTGTAGCATACACACACTAAAGAGGACAAAAAGAATCATTTTCTCATACTTAAACAATTTTTTTCGATATGAGCAGTGGGTTTTCGCTCCATTTTTTTTTTTTTTTTTTTTTTTTTGAAAGTTAATCCTAAAAATATACATTTTTTGGTTTACAAAAACATGGAGCAAAGACCCATTATACCTTAAATGTACACTTTTATGACAAAGCATTAAATTCGCATCTTTTCGAGAAATACTTGAAGTCTACTAAGTCTAGGGTCATATCACAATCATGATTTAAATGCAACTATTCATCAGGAGCTGTGTAGTGTAGTGGTTAGCGTGTTAGTCTCAAAGCAATATGATACTCCGGATTTTTATTGTTAGGGGTTCGAATCCCACGAATGCCATTTTATTTTTTTTTAAAGAAGGAATAATTTTTCTGAGATCTTTTTTTCTCAGAAAAGTTTTGTTGATCATACATGTAATTCCATAAATTTCAATAATGAGAACTTTACTTTAAATACTTAATTCACAAAATGAATATGATTTTTTTAAATATCTGAAGCTATAGACATTCTGCACGCCTTGTTCATCCATCTAACTCAAAAGAGTCAGGCACAAGTTGTGCCATATCAGATTGTCCTCTATATCACAAAGACACTAAATGCATGAAGCAAACAAAAAAAAAAAAAAAAAAAAAAAAAAAAATATATATATATATATATATATATATATATATATATATATATATATATATATATATATATATATTTATATATATATATATATATGTCTGTATTGAATACAAGCAAATAAGAATTCATGTACAAAAATGGCAGGGAAAACGTACAAACAAAAGAGAAGATGTGGATGAGTGGGGGGGGGGGGGGGTAGGAATGGTTAAGCTGGTTTGCTAGAATCTTTTCGATGGGTAGGAATGGTTAAGCTTGTTTGCTAGAATCTTTTCGATTTTAAACAATTTATATATATATATATATATATATATATATATATATATATATATATATATATATATATATATATATATATATATATATATATATATATATATATATATATATATATATATATATATATATTAAATGTTGACATTATTTTGGTTTCCCTCGTTTGGGTCCACAAACAATGGTTTCAAGGTCAATGACTGTGGCTCATGTAGGTTTGTATTATATTAATATTGCATTCTATTTTATGAACCTAAGTATCATGTTGTCTAAATTTTAATGTGATTAATTTGTAATGATTGTAATTTTATGTCAGACAACTTTGTAAACTCACGTAAAATTTCCATTTTTACTCATTTTTTAAATCATTATTTTAACATATTAGTCTTCTTTTAAATACACGAAAACAAATGCCAATGATCAACGAAATTAGCATCAAATCACGGTTGCATCTTGAATTTTTGATTAAAAATCAGCGTTGATTTTGATGCACCACACACGCAGCAAAAACAAAAGGGTTGCAAATGAAAAGAAAATCTCATTTTTAATGGCAATTTTTTAATACATGTATCTTCATACTTCAGAGGACTTAGCACACAATATCTGTCAAATTTACATAATTATTCAATGTTGTAGTGAAAAAGGGACATTCTTTACCTCTGCCAGGCGCTTAGGGGCATGAAAAATATCTCGATTCACACACTTTGGGGGGGGGGGGGGAGCTAGGTTTTGTTTGTTTGTGTGTGTTTTTCCTAAAAAATATTAATATTTTTACACATACATGCCTAAGAAATGTGTGCAAAAATAATTTCAAAAAGATAGATTATGTTTATAAATCTAATTTTCTCTTGATCTTGTTTCAATGACTTAATTTTCCTTCCTTTTTTAACACTTAGAAAAGAAATAAGAAGTTTCTGGCGGTAATTTCAAAATTGTCGACAAATACATGATATAACTGGTAGAAACTAAGACTCTGTAAACACATTGACCGAGCAGATAATAATATTAATAAAAATAATAAAATTTTATATAGCGCCTTATCTTATGTGAACTCTAAAGCGCTTTACATAGATATAACAATCTACGTATACATAATAAAAGGAAGACTAAAACAATCTTATATCACCTATAAAATAGTAAGACATTCTGAAAATAAAGTCACGTTGATAATAAAACAAGCCATACGTATGTACAGATGTGCTGTATAATGTCTTCTTCATTTCATTAAATGATATGTCAACACTCAGAAGTATGGATACAGTTCTTGTTTAATTTTTCTTTAAAAATACCAATGCTCTAAAATGAAAAACTGCGATTAAAACTAATAGTTTAAAGCTTAAGTTTTATTAGTATTTCTGACTTGTTTATTTAAGGACCGCATACGTAATACTGTATTATTACTGTAATACTGTTCTTTGGAATCCAAAACTTCGAAGTCCCATCCAAGAAGAATAACTCTAAAAAACATCTGTTCTTTTCTCCATAACAGAGTAACTCTCCTTGATTTGAATCCGTGGAACTCAAGAACTATTTTTTCTAAATAAATAAATGAATAAAATATCATGATAGTTACTGAAGATGGTACTGTTCTTTACAAAAATTCAGAATTTTTCACTTTTAATTTGTATATGACAATTAATAGTCAAATAAATTTAAAGTGAAAAAATTTTGTGGAGGACAGTACATTCATGATACCGTACTATGCATGTTTATTATATATGTTGATCAAAAAGTTCATGAATTCTTTTAAATTGCTATTACATGCATTTCAAACTAATATACATGTATAAAATCTTTCTACGTATGTTTAAGAAGCGGTGAATTTCCTTCCCATAGGAAGTGGTTCATACGGAAGCATATTGCTGCCAATTGAAAATATTTTATTCTAAGTCGCACGTACGAGATACTTTCTTTAATGTTCGTATTTGTACACGTGAAAACATTTTGTAATACATGTAATTCTGATCTTAGCGAACCAGCAATTTACTGTCTCTCATTATCCCCTCGCGGAACTTGTTGAAAAGAGGATATTGCATCGCTACGTATACTGTGCGTGCGTGTGTTTAATTGTGTGCATGGGTGTGTGTGTGTGAATGTGTGCGTGCGTGTATCCACAGCTCAAAGGCATGCAAAACTCAGGCGAGGGGATCCTCCGCTAAGCGGTACTCTTGTTTACATTGTTTCATTGATATTAGTCGAGGTAAACTTTTTCATCACAGTCTGATAAAATCGTGAAAAAGTACATGAAAAAGTATATGAAATGAATAGCAGATGATCTTGCTTTGAACATATATGAGACGAACTATTTATGCGTAAGCTAGTAATATTGTAATTTTTGTTGTCAATAAAATCTATGGCCTCCAGATCTTCAATCTAATCATATACGTAAGACCTGTTAGAAAAAAAGTAATCTTCGTTTAATAGATTAAAATCAAATCTTGACGATATTCTTTCCCACATACATGTATCACCGATTAGTTCTGCGATTTCATTTTGGTTGATTTGTTCGGAAACTTTTCCGATGTACTTGTATAGGATCAACTACATGTCATTCACGCATTTGGGTTTTTGTCGGGAGGGGGGTGACTCCTGTATCGAGTAAGAAAGAGTGCATAATTCTTGTCCTCAAACAAAGTGTGCTGACACTGTGGAATAGTTCCAGTTGATTGTTTTTAGTTTTAGAGAATGCTATTTATGGTCTGCATTCTCATAAATGTCGTTTATCTCAAAGGGAAAAAAAAAACATTTATGGAAGAAAATTGAAGTGAAATACACATACCTTTATTTTATAAAAGTAAATGTGTGCCACCGGGTGATTCGAACCAGGCCACTATAAAAATGTTTAATGTCAGCCTCTAACCATCCGAGCTTTTCTAATTAAAACAACATTAGGCATAAATATAAACCACGATGACAGAAATATGATTTTGCATTTTTCTGCTTCTTTTTCTTTTTTGTACATTTCAACCCCATCGGTACCCCTGAGAAGTTTTATTTATAAATATTTCTTAGATCAAAACCTATCAAAATATCAGGGTTTTTTTTTTTGGGGGGGGGGGGAAGGGGGAGCTGCTTTGGATCGGACTTCTAAGTCAAAATTTATGCAAAAATAGACTTTTTTTTTTTTACCATGAATATCCTCTTTTAATAAATTTTGAAGATTAATCATAAAATTACTTATACGAAATTTAGGTTCTAAATTCAAATCTGAAATATTTAGAAATATAATGTAAAAAAAATAACTTGACATTAAATGAAACATAGATTTTCAATCGGATTTTTCCGGAAAATCATTTCGTTGTGGTTAAATCCTAACATAAGAATTAACTTCACAAGCACGACAACTGTTTTTACGGTCGCCCGCGTGGCGCAGTGGTTAGAACGTCTGCTCTAGAGTCGCGGAGTAAGGAGTTGATCCTTACGTCGCGGGTTCGAATCCCACTGTGGGACGTGGAGACCGGTCCTTCGGATGAGACCGTATAAACCGAGGTCCCGTGTCGCAGTAGGTGCTTGCACGAAAAAGATCCCTCACTGCTCAAAGGCCGTAAGTGCCGAGTATAGGACAAAATTTGCAGCTCTCCACCGGCAAGTTGTGGCGTCTCTATATGAGTGAAAAATTCTCGAGAGGGAAGTTAAACAACATACAAACAAACAAACAAACAAACTGTTTTTACGCCGTCCATACTTGATGCTTCACAAAATTATGAACAAATCTTGATTACTACATATTTTCTCGTACGTATGGCATATTATCTCGTACGAACGACATATATATTTTCTCGTTCGTACGACTTAGTATCTCGTACGTACAACATTGTATCTCGTACGTGCGACTTAGTATCTCATACGTGCGACTTAGTATCTCGCACGTACAACATAGTATCTCGTACGTACAACATTGTATCTCGTACGTACGACTTAGTATCTCGTACGTACAACTTAGTATCTCGTACGTGCAACTTGGTATCTCGTACGTGCGACTTAGTATCTCGTACGTACAACTTAGTATCTCGTACGTGCGACTTAGTATCTCGTACGTACAACATAGTTTCTCGTACTTACGACTTATTATCTCGTACATTCCACATAGTATCTCGTACGTACGACTTAGTATCTCGTACGTGCGACTTAGTATCTCGTACGTACGACTTATTATTATCTCGTACATGTACGTACGACTGAGTTTCTTGTACGTACGGCATAGTATATCGTACGTAAGACTTATTATCTCATGCGTACGACTTAGTATGTCGTACGTTCGACTCAGTATCTCGTACAATGTTCGTACGTACGATTTAGTATCTTGTACGTACGACTTTGAATAATTTTTCTTCAAGTGGCAAAAAATACGCTTCCATAGGTTCTAGAGAAGATGAATTTTAGAAAAAAATACTTGTACTAATAGAAATTCTTCATGATGTTTTAGTATTAAGTTAGTTGTTCGATATTTAAAACTTTAACTCTACTGTCTACCGCCTGTCCAGAATTCATTAGTATTAAAATATTTATTATACACCACCTAGAGACTCATTAAGGCCCCATATTTACATTATGCTCTACACTGACCCAGATGTTTAAAAAGACTTAGCGCATAAAATTTGCAGCCTTTATTTCTTTTTGCCAAATGTAGCGTAGCATCAAGATCCCCCCCCCCCCCCTTATTTTCAATGTGATGGGTATGTCCTTTTAGATTAAAATGTTAAAAAGTACAGGGATAAAGGATAAAAAAAATTACTCATTCATTTGTCAATTATTAATCAAACTGCCCATGTATTTTTGTTAAAAAAAAAAAAAATCACTTTGCGTATGTGTTTTCCGGAAATACGATTTCCTTTTAAATTTAGCGACCCTAATTGACTTCCAGTTTTAAAATCACGATTGAAAAAATGTTATATGTGTTAGTAATTACTGTATGAAATTTCATTGCGAAAGCTAAAAGGCTGTTTGATATATCGGACGGAGTGTATAAATTTACAGTAATTGCCTATGTGTATAAATTTACGTTCTTGACCATTGGCCTTTTGTCCTCAAAATCAAGGGGGTCTTCTTTAGGCCAGAGGGAGTTGCTATGTAAAATTTCATTGCAAAAGCTCAAAGGCTATCTTCTCGAGATATCGCGCAGAAACGAAAGTGTTAAAAAGACAGAATTTATGAATGTATGACCTTGACCTTAGACCTTATTTTGGCCATAGGGATTGATTTGTAAAATTTCATTTCGAAAGATCAAAGGCTCCTTGAGATATCGCGCGGAAACGAAAGTGTTACAGACAGACAGAAATACAGACAGACGGACGGACAGACAGACCCAAATTAATATCCCCCACTTTCAGTGAAAGCTGGGGACAAAAATTGGTATTTCTATAGCTTGTATATATGTAGCTTTAAACTGATAAACCATGTACACACGGTTTCACTATATATCAGATGGCTGTTAGACCTTTACAATCATACATGCATGTAAGTAACGAAAACTAAACTATTCCCTCTTGGATGATGGGACATTTTCTTTACCACTGATTTTAATACAAATGTCAATTCAACTTCAGTAGGCCTATTTAAATACATGACAATCTTTCTATACCAACATATGACAGGGGACATAACCCTTACTTGTCCAGAGAAAAACTTCCCAGAAGGAACCGAAAGAAATTAAAACTCATTACCGATACTTTCACCTCGATTTCATGAATACATTACCGCTACATTTTATCAATAAGAATATTCAATTGGCAATTACAACTCATTAGTTAATTACTGTGACAATCACATGCATGTTAGTAATACTGCCCGTGAGGTACATGTAGTAAACCAGACTAGGTAGAAATGCTTTCTTTGAGATGTATTGTGGTTGAACATCGTACCCCAGAAAGAACGTTTATTCATAGAATTTGCTTTGTAAAACTCAATAAAAGGACTAAATTTCCTGCATATACATGTAGCGTTTTAATTGGTTTCTCATTTTATGTATTGAGAGTGGCCATGTTGATTAAATTGCTTTGGGGGAGAGAAAAAATTCAAACTAAGAATAAATTTTGTTTTCCCCATAAACATTTTTGAGCACGATTTTCGCTAGAAAGAAAGGTTTTCTTACGAATATGGTTAAACGTAAATATACTTTAATATTAAATCCGTATTTTTTTTTATTGATATGTTTATTTGCTTTTTAAAACATTCAAAATGAAGTATTTTATTGACATCTTTATGGTATTTGTATTTCTTTTAAGTTTATATGCGTCCTTGAGTTGAAAATCATATTTGAAATCAGATAATACGCCATCAGTTTTTGTTTGTATTATTGCAGATTAAAAAAAAGCTTGGTGTGTGTCAATTCTGTACCACTTTTATGTTTCATTTGAATTTTACAATCTGCAATTATAAATTAATGGATTATTCACAAATATATATCTGAGTGCTCAAGTTTTACACGTAATTTAAAAACGATGAAATGATAGTTCGTTATTACTTGAGCATATTCGATTATTTACCATTGTCACCATATATTAACTTGAATTATTTCACCACTGTAATTATATACATTGTAGTTACATATCTGTAATCATTGTTACCATATACCCACTAGTAATTACATGTTTACTATACCACTGTTACGACCTGTAACTATGACTCCTTTACCATTGTTCCAACATAAATCAATCTTGATTTTATTCAAATTTTGTTTCTACATGGATTAGGTTGGAGCAATAAGAATTGCATGAATTCTGTACATTTTTAAAAATGTTTCGTCTTTTAAGTTTTATACAAAACTTGATCAAAAGACAAACTTTGCACAGTTTCCATGCACTCTAGATGCGGCTTTATTGAATGCGCAAAACATACTAATCCAAATAAAACATAAAATATACTCATTAATATTTCCTTTGCAATCTCATCAAACAATACTACAAACTACAAAGTTGTTTTATTATACCAAACATGTTTCCTGAAGTAATCATAAAAACTTATAATGTTAACTTCTATTGTTTACAATTCTCATGATTTACATATGGTTTTGAATTTTACGGCATTTTAATCGAATATACTATCCCTCTTATACGGAAGGTTTGCATTTCATGGGACAAAAAGGTGATATCGGCGACAAATCACGTGATGGCACACCCATGTCTAGTAAAGTATATAACTAAGAAATGTTTCTTATCTAAAAACATCAAAGTTGTATCCGACCCTCGGCATGATACTCATCCTCAGCATTCTTGTTAGCATTGTGCTCTCAGGTAAAGCATCTCTCTCTCTCTCTCTCTCAATTTGTTCTTGTAAATAATAAATTTTTTTTTTAAGTTTTACGGAGAAATCTCATATAGTCATGTACTTATGACGCATTAAATGGTCGAGTTATCTTACGTGTTTAATTTTGTCAGAAGTTTGTGTAATTTTTAGTTGCAAATGTTCTTCTCGTAAGATCGATATTTCCATCTTGAAAAAAGTTCAGAAGTTGGTTTGTTACATTCAGTAAACCGAGGAAAATTGTCACCATGCATCTGCAATGTATATTTTCAAACCAATTAATTTCAAAATAAGTAAAGCCAACTTATTAAAATATCGTGTAAGTACACGTCTAAAGGCCAAACATTTCTTATATCTAATAAAATTATTTTTACTTTTAATTGTTTATTACATAATACTATAATAATGATTATATTGTACATATACATGTAGTATAATATATAGTATGATATTTGAGGTAAAGTCGCGAGTTATCTCAGTACTTCCATTAAAAATCGACCACACTTTGGTCGCTAAAATTAAATCACCAGGAAACCAACTTACCAATTATGCTCTTACATGTAATACAGTGGAATCCAAGAGCACCGGATGTGTTTGTCCACTGGTCATCGAACCTGTCTGTGGAAAAGACGGCGTGACGTATGATAATGAGTGCGAAATGAATTGCGCGTAAGTATTGTAATTACTGAGTCTGTATGTTGTAATTACTGAGACTGTAAATTGTATTTACTGAGACTGTATAAGTACTGCGAATGTATATTATAAGTACTGAGTTCGTATGTTGTAATAGGGACGTATATACATGTACTAAAGGGGTACCAAACAACTTCTGCAGTACAATGTTTATTTGCCCTAAACCTCACACAAAACCTGGTAATGTTTTTCAAACTACGTTTAATCTAAGTAAAATTTCTGGTTTTTGATTTTTAATTTGTTCTTTTTGTTAATCGGGATTAATTTTTAATAAATTTTAAAGCATACAAAATATTAAAAAAAATGATACAAGTAAACCACCACCAAAATTCACAAAAATCTCGGTATTTTTTTATACGACCGATCGGGGGTATTTGCTGATTTTGAAAATAATTTAAATAATTTTTTTATAAATTTCAAAGCATACAAAATAATTAATATTTTTAATATAAGTAAACCATCACCAAAATTCAGCGAAATCTCGGTATTTTTTATACGACCGATCGGGGGCATTAATTTGTTGATTTTGAAAATGTAATTCTACTAAGATAATGAGTATAAACAGTGCACATGACATTAGAATACATTTTGAATTATATTTTGCTCGATAAAGGTTTTGTTCTGATATATTTTATACATGTAGACATATACATTTAGTTAACTATTAATAATTGACATACATATACGAAATACAAGAGACATGCGCGAGTTGCCTATCCTCTTAGTATACATGTAGGCACTGAGTCTGTATATTGTGAAGTACTGAGAATGATATTGTAAGGAGTGAGTCTACTTATTGTTAATATTGAGTCTGTATATTGTAAGTACTGAGTATGTGTATTGTAAGAAATAGAGGATATTCAATGTTTTGTAGATGAATATGGAATTTATTTCACGAGTGGGACAGGATTTTTTGATATTTTCACGAGTGCGAAGCACGAGTGAAAATATCAAAAAAATCCTGTCTCACGAGTGAAATAAATTCCATATTCATCTACAAAACATTGAATTTTCTGTTTATTACATTTTCTTTGATTTTCCCTTTGCCTCTGTCTTTTCTTAACACAGTGTCATAGGCTTGACGTCATAGTTGAGCGGTTGAGACGTCACAGCTTAGCAGTTCTGAGATTGAAAACATTACATAGCATGGATTTAGCAACATATTTGGGAAGAAATTTGCAGTTTTAGCTCTATCAAGATCGTTAGTTACTATTTCTATCTAATGACAGTCCAGAAATTATTTTTTACTTACTTTGATATCCTTTCACACTGTGAGAGAATATCAGTTTGGTATCCTTTCACACTGTGAGAGAATATCACTTTTATTCAATAAATAAATCACAGTATTTCACTGTTGAAAATGTAATAACTTAGACTATTTAATTGTAAGTGCTTTGTTTCCATGCTCTAAGTTCCGAGCCTGTACATTGAACGAACAGTGGTTTAAATACAGCAATATTGAATATTGAACAAATTGAAACTTATTTTACTCAAGAAAATGAACAAAGCAAATCTCTTGTCTAAATTCTAAAAAAGTAAAAAATCTCCTTTCTTATTTTTCATTGAACAGTGGAGCTGCAAAATCTCATGATGGAAAATGCGAAAGTGAAGCCTGCGCATGCCCACTGACGATTAAGCAGGTTTGCGGTAATGATGGGAAAACCTATGACAACGAATGTCTGTTAAATTGCACGTGAGTTGAAGTGTTCTTTTTGCTCATAATTATTATTAAAGCCTATAAATTAACATATATTTAAAATGCAAAGCTTACATATTTTGAAGTTTGACAAAAATGAACACAGATCATCTTTAAGGCCCTAACTTGTTATGTACATATACAGAGGTTGGACCAAAGCTCACGACGGGGAATGTGGAACAACACAAGTCTGCGCATGTCCTTTTATCCTTCTTCGCGTGTGTGGAGGCGATGGGAAAACATATGACAATGAATGTCTTCTTAATTGCGCGTAAGTTTATTTTTGATCAGTCTTGCCAGCGATATGAACAGCTGTTTTCTTAATTGAATTGACATATTAATGCTAATATTACAGTGATAACAGTATCCATGAAAATATTAATATCCGTATGGCTATAATAAGTGAAAAACATCTGCAAAATTAACTGTAATGTAGTTTGAATAAGTGCATCTCACTCCAATTTCAGAGGGGCGACCAAGTTGCATGACGGGGAGTGTAAGCAATCATTGTGCGCATGCCCAAGAATCCTCAACAAAGTGTGTGGAAAAGATGGCAAGACCTATGACAACGAATGCCTCATGAACTGCTCGTAAGTCTATGATTCTAAAGGTGTCTATATATGTCTCCTTTTAGCCTCAAGTATAGCCGGTAAGTGTAGCTTATTTGCATTCAGACTGATTGCGCTTATGTTACTTTCTGTTGAATATTGCACTACATACAAACAAACATTTAGAAATCTTTTTTCAATATTTTGAACAAGAAATGCATGTAATCATTTTCCATTGATCTACAAAAGAAATGAGCATGCCATACGCTATACACCTTCTCCTCCTTAGGTCTGTTGGTAAGGCCCACGATGGGGAGTGTCTTGAGGCTGCCCCAGCGGCAGCAGAAGGACCCGTATGTATGTGTAATAACATGTACTATCCAATGTGTGGAAGTGATGGCGTAACATATGCCAATGAATGTCTCATGCAGTGCCAGTAAGTAACTGTTACAGTGCTTGCTGATAATAGAAAATTTTTCATTCTATAACAATACTTGCTCTCGTGAAATGCAGTTCTCCTGTGTTAGGGTTTAGACGGATGTTCCTCATTGACAGCTGCAAACTTTCTAAAAGATAGCATTTTAAAACAGAAACAAAAAGACAGATTAAAGATGATTATCATAATATAATATTCAACAAAAACACCGTTTAGCATCTAAGAAATTAAAAGTGGTAATGTATCTAAATCAGTTTAAATGTAACAGATAATTCGATTTACCTAAATAATTCTACATGTACATGATGTACAAAGCATATACATGTAATTCTACCGATGCACGCGAATTGCATGACACAGTTACATCTATGCAATCCTCAATTTGGGTCTTTTATTGCAATTGTTTTCATTTTTTTTGTCTGTTTAGTAAAGCTACCCTAGCTTTTGAAGGAGTATGCGAAACAACACCAGCGCCGTCTTGTCACTGCCCCCACATCTATAACCCGGTCTGTGGAGCAGACGGACAAACCTATGACAACGAATGTTTGATGTTATGTCAGTAAGTATTTCAAATACATTTAAATTCATAGCATTTTAAAATCTATTTTGAACTACTGCACAATTTTCATAGGTTATCATAAAAATTCTTTCTATTGCTGCTTCCCATGTTGGTTGCACGTTGTATAATAATACCTATACAGGACTCGACATCAACGTTTGTCCGATTGTCCGTGACTAGATCATATTGTGATATGACAAGTCAATCTCTAGACACAATCTTTTACCTTTTTGGAATATTATGAATATCATTTATTTTAGAATCATACATAAATCATTTAACACTATTCTTTTTTTTAAATCGCAAAAGTTGCAGTCCTTAGGGTAGCTGCAGAACTGTAGCTCTCCGAAAAAAAAATGACAGACCGGAGAGCTACAGTGCCACCCATAGAAAAAAAACTGTATATTTATTGCGCACAAAAAAGTGCACTGTTTCTCGATTTATTTCTCCATATTTTTATACTGAAATCTCAAAATATTACTGACGGTGTGTTCCTAACACATTTTTCACTATTCCCACATCGAAACAATTCCTATAACTGTTGTTAATAGCCCCTCTGGGCCTAAAATTGAGACCATCCAAAATTTCGCCTATTAATACTGCCATTTTGGGTGGCTAGACAATTCGGCCAAACGCGCTTCGTAAAGATGACAACCACAAGAGAAGTTGATAGAGGTCTAAGGAATTTTTTGAAATCGAGCTCCAGAACCGAGCGCAACTTTTTGTGCGCAATAAATATACAGTTTTTTCTATGGGTGGCATGTAGCTCTCCGGTCTGTCAATTTTTTTTTCGGAGAGCTACAGTTTTGCAGCTATCCTTAGGGTTAAGTCCCATTTCACTGGATATTAATTGTTGACGAGGGTAATCGAGACTACATTACAGAGTGCTACTGTATTTTATATATCAGTTATGTTTGTATTTTTATAGTTTACAAATCTCTGTAAGTTAATATTAATATCTACTACTACTTCATTGTTAAAAATAAAGTTCTACAAATTTCGTTACATTTGTTCAGAGTCGCGCAAGATAACACTGAATTCGGACAAGTAACATTTGTTGGTAACTTGTTCGATGGACATTAGTTAATGTAGAGCCATGTTATAGAACAAGACAAATTTCCAAAATTAAAATTGTTCATCCCTTAGTTCTCTTGTCAAAGATTTTACACTCGCAAAATGTGTTTAAATAAATAATGTATGTTAATCCATGAGGTTATTTTTCAAAGTAGATATTTAAATAAGTTACGGAAATCTTAAATGTAATGTTATTGTCCTGAACTTCGTTTATAACCGTGTACGAACAAAATAAAACTACAATATTAGTAGAATAAAGACCCAGAAACTTATCTGTGTAAAAAGTATTAACTATATACAGTCATACTTGGCCATGTAAAGAAAATTTTTCCTCCAAATGATTTTTACTAATTTATCATCCCTCTGTTCACTCATATAAAATTTTGCTTCCTGGTAATAATTTTCTAAAAGAATTACAATTAAAGTGATAAAATTTCAGCATATCTCGGTGAAAATTTGACAGAAATTGACTTTTAACTTGAGCTTTTTAAAAGTAATAATACTCATTAATTCCAGTGAGAGTTGCAACTTTTATGAGAGGGTCCATAAATATTATGTACGTTTGCGAAAGTCCTGAATATTAATCTTGTGTGTAATAATAATTAGTAATTATGATATAATCTTTTTTTTTACAGCAACGTGAAAGAAGGTTACCTTGGACCATGTAAAAGTTAACTCACGCTTGAATTGCTGAAATTTCACGCATAATGTCGGACAGTTGTGCATTCTATGACAATCTATACTTAATTATGGACATTTTTTTTTTATTGCATGTACAATTTTTTTAATGATAGTTCTGTGAGGGAAGCTTTGAACTGATTATTATCATTGCTATTTATTTGTCGAGACAATGTAATGATAGGTTTGGTAGTAAACCTTGATCCGTTTGTTAACTCAAGATTGAATGTCACTGAATTCGAAATAAAGCTACGTTATGAGGAAACAATTTTACACGATCATTTTTTGCTGTATTTTTTATTCATTTATTTTATTTATTTATTGATGGTTTTCTTTAATTAATTTTATGTCAAAAGCTCTAAATCCAAGGCAACATTGCAGCTTTAGTTTGTTTCCATTTAAAACATAAAGAAAAAAAAATCTCAGATAAAGTTAGAAAAAAACAAAATCTTTGTTTCATAAAATCTATTCAGGGCCTAAATTTCTTTGTCATTTTTTTCTCCCACCTTGCAAAAAACAAATTAATGCTCAATTCAAATTTATTAGTCCTCCATAAATTTATCAAAATAATTATCTACATTATTTTTTTTAAGTGGGGAACACAATGATATACTGTCAGTCTAACAATTTATTAAGGGAAGAAAACTAAAAAAAAATAATATGAATTTATATCATTATTTTTATTTATTTACCTGTTTATTTATTTTTATTTATTTATTTATTAAATGAATTGACATTTGAAAATTAATTTTGTGACTATTTTCATTCAATATTTATTGATTCTATAGCATAAAAATACTTATATGGAAAAAAAAACGAATATATGTACATTTGTTTGGGGGAAAGCAGAGAGTAATGCTTGAAAACAATTGACACAAACCGGCATGAATCAGCCATGTGTAAACAAAAGAATATAATTATCTATGCGTGTAATGTCTCAAACTGGTTTACAGTAAAATCACGTGTGTAATTTACGGAAATGGTGTCGACATTGAGTGTTTACTTTTTTCTGGTCTTCATTGTCCAGCACGGACAGTTACAAATGTATCCTTTCCGTAACACCTCCCTCCCATGGGACGTCCGAGTAAAGGACCTCGTAAGCAGACTAACCATAGAGGAGATCGTGGTCCAAATGAGCAGGGGAGGGTCGGGGCCCCGGGCTAGTCCCGCCCCCGCAATCCCACGTCTAGGGATTGGTCCGTTTAGTTGGAATACAGAATGTCTGAGGGGTGACGTTTACGCTGGTAATGCTACATCTTTTCCCCAGTCGTTAGGCTTGGCTGCAACGTTCAGGTAGGTCAGTAGCAGACATGTCCTAAAATTCGATTCCGTACATAATTACATGTATGTATAACCATTATACTTTCGCTTGCGAGTAAATCTGCATGATATATCCACAAAAAGGGAGCATTCTACCACAGTTTTCAATTAAAACGTATATTAGTTGGCCAAGAATGTAATTCATAATTTTTAGACCTTCCTTTTATATATTTACGGCTATATATATATATATATATATATAGGGAGAGAGAGAGAAAGTAGGTGTATCGTTCCCTACATAGATCAGATATGGCGACAACTCTTTTGAATAAAATATTTTCGTCAATATTAAATGGTTATTGAACTTATATCGGTGAATATTGGCACGAGTTGGCTGTACAAATTAACGAGCTTGCGAAGGCATTTGTACAGCCAAAGAGTGCATGCCAATATTCACCAATATAAGTTCAGTATACCATTTATTATACATGTATAGCTTAAACATTTCCCATTGATTTATATTAATTATTTCAATAAAATAACTCAAAATTAATGAGAATTATTCCGATTTTAATCTCGGTATTCAAATTAAAACTGTGCAATATCAGCGTCTGTCCTGTAAGCTTAAGTGTTAAATATCACTGTCGTGACATCATTCCAATAACCCTACCAAGCGTTATAATTTGCTTATTGACGTTTATTGAAGCTAGTTTGTACTAAATTATTGAGTAATAATTTTAATTTTGTGTGAAAATAGACACATAATACCTAGCTACCACCACCCTTCATAAATATTGCCGTTGAGCGGTTGATCAGACTGCATTTTTTTTTCACAAAGGGCGTTCGATATTGAACGCTCGCGAATGGAATATTTAAGGGCATACTCGTATCATGTAAATCTTATTTTTACTGTAAGAAAGAGCAAAATATTATTGTTCAATTTTTGAGTTCAACAAATTCAAAAATACCGCCTATGTTATTTAGCACAGATGTTATCTGTGACGTAGCAGAAGCGACATCTATCGAGGTGCGCGCCAAGTACAATGACTACCAAAGACGGAAAATATATGGGGACCATAAAGGGATAAGCTGCTTCAGTCCTGTTATCAACATCATGAGGCACCCGCTCTGGGGCCGAAATCAGGTTTGCCTTTTTTTTGCTCCTCAAGTTATTTAGTTCTGGGCGTATTACCTCAAATTATGAATTTCAAAAAAGAGCATATGAAAATTACTAACAGGGACGTATAATTATACAAATGCTAGCTAGTATACGTTCCTTCCACTATCTCTTATAGTTCAACTTTTCTAAAACCATTTGCTATTAATAATAGAAATAGATGTCAAATGTTTTCCCAAAGAAAATGTCTTGAGATTATTATTTTATTTCGTAATTTAACGTTTTTTATTCAAGTAATTTCCATTTTTTCTGTCAGGAAACATACGGAGAGGATCCGTTTTTATCCGGAGAAATTGCCAAAAGCTTTGTGAAATGTTTACAGGGTGATAACCCAACCTACATCCGGGCGAATGCTGGCTGTAAACACTTCGACGTGCACGGTGGTCCTGAGAACATCCCTGTATCCAGATTCTCCTTTGATGCCAAAGTAAGAAGTTATAAGGACACTCTGCAATAAGCTTTAATTATAATTACTTGAAAATTAAAACGAAAGATTTTAGATCATTTTACATGATTATAAAGGTGTCTGAGAGGGACTGGAGACTGACGTTTTTACCAGCGTTTAAAAAGTGTGTTCAAGCAGGATCTTATAGTTTGATGTGCAGCTTTAACAGGTTTGAATACATTTTGTATTCTCCAACTTAATATAAATGACTTCTGCTACAGTCCATATTTTTGTTCCGCTATGTACATCGTATGGGGCGGTCCACCTTAAACTTCATGGACAGATACATCGATGCTTTCTGAGTATCTAATTACTAGTATCTAGCTAATTCGGTAGAGGGAAACGTATTTAGGAAGACGGGAAGGCTTGTCTTTGCAAAATGTACCCGCAATTATAGCTGCTCAACTTTGTAAACTTACTTTTTTTATCAGGAAAATCCCCAAGATAAGATGCTATCAGCTGCAGGTCATTTCATTTGAAATTTTCAGATCAGATGCCTTCGTATGTACATCGAATTATGCAATTAACGATTAATTATCAATGTACTCTTTTAAAAAAGTTGTAGAATAGTTGTTCCTTTTGTAAATGACGACATATAATTGTTCAGAATCAATGGAGTCCCCGCGTGTGGGAACAAACGTCTACTGACGGACATTTTACGGAGGGAGTGGGGGTTCACGGGATACGTGGTCAGTGACCAGGAGGCGATAGAGAACATTATGACGTATCATCACTACACTAACAACTCAATAGACACGGCTACACTGTGTGTCAAGGCTGGCTGTAACCTAGAACTGTCCACAAACGAGGTCAAACCAACCTACTTCTACATCAGTTAGTGTAAAAATTTTCAGAATATAACATTTTTTCCCTTTTGTGTACGTAGCGTCAGATTTATGAAGGACTTATTGTAGCATAACATTGCAAAAGTTGATAAATTGCAAGGTCATTTTTGTTACTTATGTAGATGACGCCTTAAAGGCTGGTAAACTTAACAAAGAAGAGGTATTGGAGAGTGTATCACCTTTATTTTACACCCGGATGCGCCTTGGAGAGTTTGATCCGCCCGAACATAATCCCTACAACTTCCTGGATCTCTCAGTGATCCAGAGCGAGGAACATAGATCAATATCGTTAGCAGCTGCTATGAAGTCGTTTGTTCTACTGAAGAATAAAGACGGGTTTCTTCCAATTACTAAAGTTTATAAAAAGATATCTGTGCGTATTGGTTACCATCTGATTTATTCAAATAAAAATCCTGGTCGTGAAGATATTGATATTCTTATTGTTAATCTGTAGATTTTTTTTTCTTGGTTTTGTTTCAACCTTAATATTACCTTTGTTGTAGGTATTGGGACCTATGGCAGACAACAAATACCAACAAATAGGAAGCTACGCGCCAGATGTTATGCCAGGTTTTACTACCACGCCTTTACAAGGGCTCTCTAAGCTCTCCAAAAGTGTCCAGTACGCAGCTGGATGTACCGACAACGCATGCACAACTTATAATAGATCGGACATACAGAGAGCAACGAATTCCACTGATGTTGTCTTTATTTGTCTTGGAACAGGTATTAAAACATGATAAAGTAAGCATATGCATTAATATACATTTATTGACTGGGTTCGAGGGCAACATGTCGGACCCAAGAAGCAAGCTTAGGTCTATTTCGGCCTAATAGCCGCAGCAAACAGTTGGTTCAAGGGCGCGACAAAACGCATTTAAAATTTGCCCGAGAACACAGTCACTAAATGTTTTGTTATACCTTTTACTTTTTATTTTGACATATCTTGCGCTGGCTTCCATGTTTCTGATAATAGAAATGATATAGCTGATCCCGCCTACAGTATATACGTCATAGTGGTCCAATATCTCATTCACAGGTCCATAATCTCACTCAGCGGTCTAACGTCGATTTTATTTGGACCGCTCAGTAAAGCATTATAAAAGTTAGACTTTTTTAGTATAGATTTCTATAGGAAACAAATTTCAAAGGTTAAACATATTTTATCTCGGAAAAAATATTATAAGTACATTTTTTCAGCACAGGTCCCATGATAGAGAACGAGGATCACGATAGAGGCAGTATGGAGCTACCCGGAAAACAGTCACAGCTTATCAAGGACGCTCTTAGTTTCTCAGGTACAGTATATATTCCAGGGTATCGCCAAAATATTTTGTTTTTTAATATGTCGTAACATTTACATGTGCATGTACATGAGGTGTAGCAAGAAATATTGCAATAGCTAACGATTTATGAAGGTTGAAATAAAATATTTCTTACGCCTTCAGACTATTTGTAGAAAAATGCAAATCTTTCCGTACCTGCAAATCATTTGAAAAAGAAATATGAACGAACGATTAAAGAGCTACTGTATCACATTTTAATATGCAATGAACGACCAATATTGCTTAAGGTGTGAGTGTTAAAAAAGGGGCCCTTTCCAGTTTAACCTTCTTTACAATGGCATGGAACGTTTGGAAACAGGCTTAATTTAAATAAGCAAAATATTATGGGTTGATAATTCTAAATTCTTCATCTAACTTTTACATGTAGCAAACACTGTGCCCATTGTCCTTCTTCTCTTCAACGGAGGACCCGTGAACATCACTTGGGCGGATCAAAACGATCGTGTGGTGGCCATTATTGAATGCTTTTTCCCTGCACAGGAAACAGGGGAAGCTGTATGGAAAGTGTTAACCAACACTGGGAATTTCTCCAACCCCGCAGCAAGACTTCCCTATACATGGCAGAAATACAGCGATCAGGTGTCTGTCTTCAAAGAATTCTGTTTATTTATTTGTAATTTTTTGCATTCATAGGCATCATTTCACCACACGGTTTTGTTTTTATTCATCAGATACCGTCTATGGTAAATTATAGCATGGTAAATAGAACGTATCGGTATTTCCATAGCAACCCCTTGTATCCGTTTGGGTACGGATTGTCCTATTCCAAGTTTAGGTATACAAACGCCTGGATGAACCCAGTCATAGACCAAGGACAGAACCTTACTGTTCGTGTGGAGGTACATAATACAGGGCCACTGGACGGAGAAGAGGTATGTTGAGACGACCCTCCCCCCCCCTCCCCACCAAACAGGAAGATATCCTTGGATTGACTTTTTTTCATCAATAACTGGTTCGTCTTAGTATCTTAAAAAATAATATCTTTTCACTGATCGTAAAACATAGACATGACATCTTGTATGTGTCTAATGTCATACATGAATGTTTTTATGTCAAATGTGCACGAAAGTTTTAAACAGTACAAGTATATTACATTTATAGTTCTGTGATTTTAAAATTTAATATTCTTAATCTAGGTTATTCAGATCTACCTGAAATGGCTGGACACTAAAGAAGAGATGCCAATGAAGCAACTAGTTGGGTTTCGACGCGTTTTTCTGCAAAGTGGAGAAACTTTAAGTTGGCTTTTTACAATAGATGCCGAAAGCATGGCCGTCTGGAGCAACGATAGAGACTTTTCGATAGAACCAGGTATAAAAACATTAAAATCCCTATGCTTCTGGAGAATGAAAATGCTCAACAGCTGTAACCTTTGAGTATATGACAGAATTTATAGTTTATATGTGTACATATAAATATAATGCGAACTGAAAGTCAAACTGACAACAAAGTGGTACTTTCACGATAAATTAGGACCAAGTCACTGTTATGTATAGTCAATTAACTATCACATATTTGGTAAAATAGCAGAAAATCTAGTCTTTCCTCTTTATCACGCATTTTTAGAAAAAAAAATGGTTTACGTAAGATTTCAATGGTCCTCCATAGCTACATGAATTTAGTTGATAATTTTCCTTTATCCCTTAAACAATATACATGTACAATCAATCAGTCAATCCTTTATTCCTATACTTAGAAATGCATTTTTATCTTTCAGGACATTACCGACTGTACATTGGAGGTCAACAGCCAAATCAAGAGAAAGAAGTGCCAAGTAATGTTCTGGTTCGAGATTTCAAAATTGTACCAAATACGTCATACATGTAGATTCGAATATATTTTTTTTAAAAAATCTGCTGAGTTCAAGTCAAACTGGCTTTGTGGAATAGAATTACAATCTTTTTCGCGATCAAAGAAATGGATCTGAAGATTGGTTATTCTATGAAGAGCCGTGTATTAGTTTTAACATGTACCGTAAATTATAATTTGTATGGGATTTTTAAACCTATAGACGGCCTTTTGTTAATGGTATTTACGTTTAAATTTTCATTGAGTAGTTAGGCATAATAATTCAGATATAGCCTCTACCATTACTTAACCCTATTACTAGCTGTGAAATGACCCTTGTATTTAAAGTACATTACTTATTATTATCATTTATCTATTAAAATAAAAGTGTAAATCATTCCCTATCCTCTCTGCTTCTGTTGACCTGAGGTCAATGAGTTTATATACAGGTAAACTTCGTTATTTCGACATCGACGGGACCATCGGAAGATGTCGAGATATCCGAGGTGTCGAGATATCGGAGTTGAGACTTGACGTCCAAGATTCCACTGCATAGCAAAACAGACCAGCTTATTATATGTACATGACTTCAATATAGACTGTAGCTCAACATATTTCAGAATTCCCTCTATTTTTATTAAAAATCTAAGAAGTTATTTAAAAAATTTTGTTTATAAAACGTGTTTTTATCGGAATCTTTCTAAATTCACAAAGTTTCAGCACAACGTTACAGCATTTGCGTGTAACTTGCCTTTTTGTCACAGAACAGGATACGAAATGCGCTCTATAAACTTCGAACCGTATAAAGTCGACATCCGATATACGAAAAAAAAAAAATGCGGATTGTTTTTTCTTATTTCATTCAGGAAGAATGTACATTGAAATTAATTTTTTTAAAGAGATTTGTGTATCTAATATAAACGAACGTAGTGATGTTATAGATGCATGAATTAAGGCTGATTCGGTCAATGGTGTCGTTAATTGGACTGTTTCCTGTTGAATACATTTTAAGTACAAAATATCATTAAAACATCTTTAAATTCCTTAGTTTGAATCAGTGTGTTTCTCTTTCATTGTAATTTAGCTTTTTCAGTATTATTAAAGTTATGTTGTGTTTCGATAAAAATAACCGTCTGTACATTTACGCTGAATCGCGTAGATTTAGCAATGATATTACCCAAGCTGACTTCTCAAAGACGCCGAGGGACTTGGGCTTCACCTACAAACACAGTCTATAGAATTAATTAAGCAACGTGCAGTCAAACCATGGGTGTGAAATTTTGACGACGTCGAGATACCCGGAGTCGTCCGTGCGTGACGAGCGACCCTGACAAACAGTTAGGTTCAGTAAAGCAGAAAATTGCCGATGTCGACATATACCAGGTAAATTTTGCTCTTGGGACTGTGAATTGACCTCGAGATAACCCGGGTTGTCGACATTACCGAGGTCGACATATCAGAGTTTTTGCAAATCATTCATATAGTAAATACTGCCGGGACCGCGGAAGGACGTCGACATATCCCAGGTTGTCGAAATATCCGATGTCGAGTTACCGAAGTTTACCTGTACTTCAAGTTGCATTTATTTCTTTAAATTATCTACAACTGTATCAGCTAAAGTCATATGTTAAACATGTATTAGTTATTAAACTGTATCAAAATATACGTCATTGAATCTTGATTGTGCTTTGATATTTACACCGCGGGCATGAAGCAGACGATACATGTCTGTATGCAAAGTCAATGACAAATTTTAATACAACATGTAGTACTCACAAATCTACAGAATTACATGTATTACATTCCCCCTGAGAGTAATTGACATTGACACGGTTTTAGAGACAATTAAATGGTAAACAGATCAGAAACCAGAAGATCTAATTAGTGGTAATTTCACGTGATAAGGTGTTGCTTTGGTTACAAAAGTAATCTGCAAAAACTCCTTCTACATGTAAATGCCACTCTTCGTTGCTTCGGATGCTGGATCTGACCTACATATATTTCAGTTGAGTGACCAGGTTAAAGATTTTGGAGCAGGTCAATTCTCAACCTGGTCAATTCTCAAGTAACTATATGCTCTACGTAGACCAAACTTGCATGGATGATGCATCTAGGGATGTACACTACCATACTTGCTTCAGATGCAGGATCTAACCTATATTTTCCAGATGAGTGACCAGGTTAAAGTATTTGGAGCATGTTCATACCCAAGTAACTAAAAACCCTACCTGGACCAAACTTGCATGGATGATGCATCTAGGGATGTACACAACAAGACCTGTTTCGGATACTGGATCTGACCTACATTTTCCAGATGAGTGACAAGCTTAAAGTTTTTGGAGCAGGTCCATTCCCAAGTAACTAATGGACAATTCCATACTTGCGAAGGATGCCGAATCCGACCTACATTTCCAGATGAGTGACGTTTTTGGTGTAGGAAATTAGCATGGCCTGGTATGATTAAACTTGCATCTAAGGATGGACACTTCAGACTTGCTCCAGATGTTGGAACTGACCGACATTTTCTTGATTAGTGGCTAGGTTAAAGTTTTTGGAGCAGATCCATTTCCAAGTAACTATAAGTCCTATTTAAACCAAACTTGCATGGATATTGGTCTTGAAATGCACACTAACTAGAAAAACAAGCATTCTAAGAGTATTGCATTAGCAATACTAGTCCCCTACCGGCAAGTGTAATCTGGTTCCCGTTAAGAATTGAAAATTTCGTAATTCCATCAAAAATCAATGAAGCGGAACGAAATGCAAACTTGATCTGTAACTCATCAAGGTAAAGTCACATAGCGAAAAATCAGCTCAACATCTGAAAGCGTTTAGGGAAAAAGTGCGGAAAACCAAGTGGGACAGACTAACAGACAGAGGGACAGACAGACAGACGGACGGACAGACTCAGAGGAAACCTAAAGTCCCCTCCGGTTTCACCGGTAGGGGACTAACAAGCATTCTGAGAGTATTGTCTGTCAATCTGTCCCACTTGGTTTTCCGCACTTTTTCCCTAAATGATATTGAGCTGAATTTTGGTATGTGAGTGTATCTTGATAAGTTACAGATCAAGTTTGCATTTAGTTACGCTTCATTGGTTTTTGACAGAATTATGGCATTTCAATTCTTAACGGGAACCAGATTACACTTGCCGGTAGGGGACTAGTATTGCTAATGCAATACTCTCAGAATGCTTGTTAAACGCTACTACTGTAGGTATTGTGTTTTGAATAAAAGTTGGGACAACTTGAGAAAAATATTTATGAATCTCTAAAGTAAACGATACTTGTCTCAATGCAAGATTTCTACTATAAATATAGATAAACCACTAAGGCAAGAGTTTCGTCTAGTTTATACACTGAACAGCATCTAGGAATTAATTTACATATTTTTGCAATGACAAAGCATCACATCTTCCTCGATATCGATAATCATAATACACCCTGCCATAAAGTACACAATGTTGTTGTAGTTAATTAAGATAATCTATCGTCTACACCACATGGGAGAGGGTGATTAGATTCCAGCATGTCGATGACCAATGGTCAGTTGAATCTGACCAGATGTTCACTACATAGATAATACTCTGCCGTTACTTCCATTACGCTGAGCAATGCAAATTCTTTACCATTATTGGAGAAGTCACAAAAGTATCACAAAACAGAGACCTCACTTCCAATGCAAAAAAAATAATAAATGAACATATTTTTTCAAATCATACTGTCACTTATTAGAGATTTTAATTACTCTGCACATAATAAGAATAACAGAATGTAAGCCAGGAATCGGCATGTAGCTACACCTAAAGCTTGCAACATGTAGCTACACCTAAAGCTTGCAACACAGGGTATTGAGTGACATTCTCTTACGGAATACAGTGACCCATGCAAGCCAGGCATCGATGATCACAGAATTAGATCACTATGGATTAAATGAGATAAATCATTGTAAAGAAGGAGATTATCGGGACATTGAGGTTAGTCAACTTGTGTTTATAAAAAAACTAAAGAATAAAGAATCGGCCAGGGAGAGATAATATGTCACTGTACATTTTTAAGGGTATAAATGTTGCCCAATATAATGTCGTAATTAGGCCGGGATTTGGAGAATTTGCCTTTTGAGTAGACACAATTTAGAAGAAACATACAAAAATGTAGAATGGTGACAATAAACTTCATCAGTATAGGGGTGTATCAAAATGTTGGTCAGCCAACAGGAAATACAGAAATTTATATTAGAAGTGGGTCATTGCTTGTACATGAAAAATGTGTGCCTAGAAAATTATGTTTTGTAAATATTCCTTTCATTAAAATACTAACACATCTTTGTTTGTTTGTTTGTTTGTTTGTTTGTTTGTTTGTTTGTTTTTTTTTTTGTTTTTTTTTTTTTGTTTGTTTTTTGCTTTTTTGGAGCCAAATTTACATTTTAAGGGGAGAGAAAAATATGTTTTGATGTATTACGATTATAGTATAAACTTATTGATTAGTGTTACACTTGGTTGGTGTTCCTTGTGAGTCTAATAATTTTGTTTTATTGCTTTGTTACTTTGTGAGAGGACTCAAGTAGGCTTTGTCTGCTGTCCTTTTCATTACGATGTATATCTTTTCAAATAAAATAGTGTCGGTCAATATATCCCTCAGGCTGGCTGATCAACGGTTTATGTTTCTATAACATTTAAGGTGTGATCCTGCTTTAATAAGGGATTACGAAAGAAAAAAAGTTAGTTGTTTTAATTTTTAAAAACTGATGTGGTCAGTTAAAACCACTTTAATTACACCATATGGGGTTTTAAAAGATTAATTTCTTTTAAATATCTTCATAAATTTATAACTCGATGACGATATTAAGACTATATTAAGCTCTACTGAAGACGAAATTGTTAAACAAATTATTTTGAACTTTAATTAGGTCAACTGAGTCATACAGAGGCTCTGGTGACGTATATTTACTTAAACTTTTGAAGGGCTCCATTTCTTCTCCTCTTAAACTGTAAGAACTATTTTATGTTGGTACGTTACATCTTGTATGTTGTTTTACTTGCCATTCGAGAATTATAGGGACGTCGATCACCTACTTTAGGTGAACTGCCACAAATTGTGCCTTAATAGAGGAGGTTCTTCATCGTGCCAACGCCCACAATGAAAAGGGACCTCAGTTTTGAAGGCCTATTCGAAAAACCCGTAACATTCACTTCTATAATGATTGAACAGTCAATAAACAATGTGTATCTTCTTAAATTTGACGCGGCATTGGAAACGAGAAACGGAAACCTATCGGTCACGAAGCAAGCACCTAAACATCAAACTACCACGACCAGTCTTAACATTTAAAGTGAACATTATTAAAGGTACAAGTATAGAGTGATGGGAGTGTCTGTACTTCCGTAGGTCTTTCCGTACATCCATATCACTTGGGGTA